GCCTGGCCCTTGGGTTTTCTAAGGAATTTGCTAAGGGTGCCACTGCCCTTAGCAGTTAGGATTCTTAGCAGAATTGGGGAGAAGTGTCTGTCTGACCTAAGGATCATCCTTGGGCAGTAGACTTTCTTCTCCTGGTACAGCTCTCTCAGGTTGACGATCTCAAGCACCGTCACCAGGTTCACAAATGCCCGAGGAACCTGAGAAAAGGCAAAAATCAGTCGCCAAGAGGATGAGGCTGGGCAGCTCCAGGCTCTCACCTGGGTTTGGGACCTGCTCTTCCTGCTGAAGTTTCAGGTCTAGGGACTTCCATCTGCCCCCATCCACTTCCTCCAACTGTCCCTGCTCCCCATCTATGCATCTGGGCTGGGATCCACAACAAAGGTGACCTGCCTGGGAGGTCTCAGCAGGACGCCAGAGCTTCCTCTAGGCTAGGTCTCACCGCCTAGCCTCCATACCTCGGCGTGGAGGATGTCCAGGGCCTTCCCAATGTTGTCTGTGAAGTTCTGGGGAGAATAGTGGACCTGCAGGAAGAGAAGTGTCCACTGAACACCATTTGTCACCAAATCTCTCTACAGAACCGGGCTACTTTCTCTCTTGGGTCCTTCTTTTTTTCTTTCTTTCTGTTTTTGAGACATGGTCTCACTCTGCCTTCTGGGCTGGAGTGCAGTGGCATGATCACAGCTCACTGCAACCTTCACCTCCTGGGCTCAAGCAATCCTCCCACCTCAGCCTCCCAAGTAGCTGGGACCACGGATACATGACACCACACTTGGCTAATTTTTGTTTTTTTGTTTTTTTGTTTTTTGGTAGAGATGGGGTTTCACCATGTTGCCCAGGCTGGTCCTGGGCTCAAGTGATCTATCCATCTCGGTCTCCCAAAGTGCTGGGATTACAGGTGTGAACCACTGCACCTGGCCAGAGTCCTCTTCTTTCTGTATTCAGTCACAGTGGGCAATATTGAAATGCAGTGTTTGTCTTTGGGGCCCCAGCCTCGACACCAGCCCCATGATTTGGGGCCCCAGCCTCGACACCAGCCTCAGGTTTGCCATGGCTGTGGCCCTCAGGGAAATGTCGTTTTTCTTTTTGTTTTGTTTTGTTTTTTTGCGTGGAGCTCTGGACCTACTCCATATCCACTAGCTGTAGAGCCGGAGCATCACATCTCTGGGCCCTTCTAACACAGGAATGTCAGAGCAGATGACCTCTAAGATCTCCTGCAACCTGAGCAGCCTCTGTCCTATGGCCCGATCTCTTTTGCTTGGATCCTCAGTGTCTGGGGCTACTGAGCGCACCCTACATGTATGAAAGCACACCCTACACAAATCAAAGCAATAACAGGAGGGGAAGAGGGGAAGAGGGGAAGAAGGGAAGAGGGTCCTGTGAAACACCCGCCACACCAAGCCTCAACACATTTTAACTGTTTCTCCTGATCTCAATATTTGCAGTTTTAAAGCTTTCTCACAGTGGAACTCTTTCTCTGATTGAAATCTAAACAAAAGCCCTGCTGTATGGAACATACCAAAGCTGTGTCACTTCACGTGAGCAGGGGAGGGGCCCAGGGTCCCACCTCCCCATGGGCCACCAGCAGCCCCAAGGCTCCCCTCTGGGCCTTTAAGATCACAGCTTGAAAACTCCTCTGACTCCTGGTGACTTTGATGCCAGGAAAGTGGGTTGTGAGGGGCCTGGGGGCGGGGGCGTCCCTCCAGGTAGGTGCTTACGGGCCACGGCAAGACCACTACTTCCTAAACCTGACTCTGCTGGTCCCCTATCTGCCTGACAAACCTCCTCATCTTCAAGCTCCAGCTGGAAAGTCTCCTGCTCTGGGTAATATCTCTCCGACAACCCCCGCTTCCCCACACACCAGTCTCCGACAACCCCCGCTTCCCCACACACCAGTCTCCGACAACTCCCGCTTCCCCACACACCAGGGTCCCACAGCAACTTTGCTTTTTTTTTTGAGATGGAGTCTCACTTTGTCACCCAGGCTGGAGTGCAGTGGTGTGATCTCAGCTCACTGCAACCTCTGCCACCTGGGTTCAAGCGATTCTTCTGCCTCACCCTCCCAAGTAACTGGGACTACAAGCACTCGCCATTATGACTGGCTAATTTTTGTATTTTTGTAGAGATGGGGTTTCACCATGTTGGCCAGGCTGGTCTGGAACTCCTGACCTCAGGTAATCTGTCTGCTTCGGCCTCCCAAAGTGCTGGGATTACAGGTGTGAGCCACCACGTCAGCCAACTTTGCTTTTAGACCTCCCTTCTGTGTGCAACCCTACAACCACATCCTGATGTCTGCCTTGTGCAGGATGAATTGCCCATGTCTCTCTCCGCTGGCAGTGCGAGTTCCTGAGGACAGGGCCTGTGTTTCCTTCGCCACTGCTTTGCTCCTGGCATAGGCGTGGGTGGGAGACTAGTGGGTATGCCCTGTCAGGCTTCTATCAGCTCAGAGACTGAGGTTCCAGGAGGACATGCAGCATCCATGGAGCAGCAGCCTTGATCTTGGGTTTCCCACCGGCCCAGAATGACGTGGCTCTGAAGCTCACCCAAATGCCTGCAGGAACTCGACCTTTCCATACAAGTGACAGCACAAAGGTAGAGAGGGCAAGGCCGCTGGAGACTGGGGAAAGGAGCTAACCTGTGACTCTCTGTGAACACAGGAAAGATTTTTCTAGTCAATGGGTGTTATCTTGGTTTCTAGAATGACATGATCAAGCTCCCTTGATAGGAAACTTAATCAGGATCAATCTTATAACCAATCCTGCTTGTCCAGCTGAATGGCGCCCTGGAGGTGAATGCCTTCTCAGTCTCAGGGTTCATCCCAGGCTGGATCCAAGACAAACCACGAGCCTGAGTCCCAACTTAGCTGTACTGCTCCCGGGCAGAGCAAGTGACCGGGCTGTGAAAATCCTTCTCTGGGGGTGAGTCTTGAGTAAAGGGCCTGCAGACCTACCGGATCACTGCAGAAATCACAGAGGTCATTGCCGCCTATAAACAGGGTTATTATCTTCCAGTCTTCCTGAAAGTGTATCCTCTGAAATGAATAAGAAACACACAGTCAAGCACCTTGTCCCAGAGTCAAGCCAAGGAAAACACTTTTCTAGTGCTTGACACTAGAAAAGATGGGTCCTCACACACTAGAGTCTCATGGACTTTCGAATGTTCTGTTCCTTGGTTTTGGGCTCCTGAGATCATAGGTGCTAATGGTTCATTATTTTAGGTGGAATCACTGAACTTCCATGTGGCTCTGCCCACACACAAAAGCACACACGTCACAGTTTCCACGTGTCCTGGTGGGAGTGGATACAGATGCCCTCTGAGCTCTGTTCCTCCATCTCCAGCATAGCAAGGAAGTGGGGAGGGGATAAGGAAGCTGGTCTTGGCCATGGGACAGGAACGTTTGTTCCAGAATCTTCTAGAAATCCTGAATTCTAATTTTGCCTTAACAGAGAAAGGACCACCTTTCATTAAGAGGGAGCTCTCCAAATTTGGAGTACTCACACTGGTGACTAGCTCTGCCTATGAACTAGTCAAGCCAGAGAGGATGGGTAGAGTAAGGTGGCAGCTCTAAGCACAAGCTCTGAAAAGATTTTGCCACCTCTGGTATCTGTCTCCTCCAAGGAGGACCTGGAGAAGTACGTGAAGTCACAGGGCTGTGTGGAGAGGGTACAGCCACACACATTCCATAAACTATGGCCCCAGGGCAACCACGGCCCTTCAAGCCTCTTATATTGCCCCAGGCCTACATAGCTTTACTTCTCTGATCTGCACTTCCAAAAGAGGGTGGAAGGAGGAAGGTAAGAACAAGATCCAGAAAAGTTTGACATTAAGGGTAGAAATACCCTGAAAATATCCCAGTAATAGACTTTGTTGTACATTAAATTATATATAACATAATTCATCCTAATCTTCCTTTTTATTTTACCCACCTAGAAACCCCTGCAAACAGCCTCTGAATTGAGACCCATGCTTTCCTTTGAGGGAGAGCCTCATATTCATCTCTCAGAACCCTGGTCAAACATCTCTTCTACTTTTATTTTCTGGTACTGCTCCTTGCAGACCAGGGCTCTCCCATAGGCCATGTGCCCAGAATAACAGCCAAAATCTCCTTCTCAAGCCTTCCCTGACCATCCTAAGCAGAGGGGCCGGTCCCTTCTGCGCCCCACCCTGTCTTACACAGAACCCTTTTGATGCAGCACGTGGCAACTGTTCTATAATTTGATTCTTCACATTGGTCTCCTCTTCCAAGCTCCTTGAGGACGGGACTGTGTTGTATTCTTTCGTGTATCTTCAGCCCCAGCCTGATGCCTGACTCACAATAGATGTTTAATTTCAACAGCCGACTGACTGAACAAACAGAAATCACCTTTCCAGAGGAGCAGCGTTTTAGGCTTCAGATGTGTCTGCTAGAAACCCACGCCAGGCTCCCAACCACCCCTCAATCCACAGCTGATCTTTTCTGTGTCCACGGATTTCTCTTGTCTACTTCCCATCCCAGGGACTCACCGTGTCATTCTTCATCAGGTCCACCAGCCTCCTGGCCTGGACAGGTAAATCCCTGCGGACACATACCAGAGGAAGTGCTGTGAGGAGTGGGGACTGGTAGGGGCTCTTAGCAGAGAGAACAGCAATCAAATGTACAATGGAGGAAGGCCCAGGGTGGGCCTCCTGCGGGAAAATGGACTGAAGGCCATGTCACAAAGCTCCTTCCCCAGTCATGCTTCACTGTGGGGGTGTTGGGTGGTGACTGTGCTTGGGAAGGCCAGAGCACTGCACATAGGAGGGGGTGACTCTCAGTGTGACTATTTCTTTTTCTTTCCCCCCCCCCGAGATGGAGTCTCGCTCTGTTGCCCAGGCTGGAGTGCAGTGGCACAATCTCAGCTCACAGCAACCTCTGCCTCCTGGGTTCAAGCAATTCTCCTGATTCAGCCTCCCAAGTAGCTGAGATTACAGCCATGTGTCACCATGCCCAGCTAATTTTTGTATTTTTAGTGGAGACGGGGTTTCACCATGTTGGCCAGGCTGATCCCAAACTCCTGACCTCACGATCCATCGCCTTGGCCTCCCAAAGTGCTGGGATTCCAGGCGTGAGCCACCGCGCCCAGCCAGTGTGACTATTTTCTGATTGGCATATTTGGTATGGTGTACTTTTCTTTTCCTTCCAAGCCAGGCTTGTTCAGGGCAAACAGAAGGTTTGCCTGTGAGTATTTCACATCATGCACATGTCATGGCACCCCCCATTTTGGCAGGTGCCATAGTCTAAGCCCTCCTACCCTTAAGATGATGTAGTCTAGTCAGATGCACCTGGGTTGGACACTTAAGTGCCTCTTGCTAACTGTGTGAAAGTGACTCTAATTCTCAGCTCAAAAAGACCGCAAAGTGGAGACAAGCTCACTGATCTTGGACGGTCATTGGGAGCAGCAGATGGGAGCCACTGCTGGTGCCAGACTGCCAGGGTTTGAATCCTGGTTCCACAAATGACCAGCTCTGAGACCTTGGCCGACTACTTGATCCTGCAAACCCTCAGTTTTTCCCTTTGGGAAACGGGGATGGTAACATACCTTCCTCTCAGAGCTGTTGGGGAAATTAAATGAGGTACCATATAAAGAACTTACAACAGTGCTTGACACATAGTATGCAACCACTGAATTATTTCTGCCATCATTCCCACCATCACCATTGACAAAGTCCCTGGCACAGGGCTTAGCAGGAAACATTAGTGGTCATCCTCTTCCCCTCTTATCTATTTGCCCTCCTGGCCTGATGTGAGTCAAAGTACACTAGGTATTTGGTTACCTGGATGGGGACTGCACGTAAGTCACTTAATCTTTTTGAGCCTTGATTTCCTCATCTGTAAATCTGAAGTTATCAGAGCAGCTGCTCTGTTGATGGAACAGAGTTTGAGGATGATTACTCAACCACTCTGAAACTCTTTTTTTTTGAGACTGAGTCTTGTGCTATCACCCAGGTTGTAGTGCAATGGCGTGATCTCAGTTCACTGCAACCTCCACCTCCCAGGTTCAAGCGATTCTCATGCCTCAGCCTCCCAAGTAACTGGAATTACAGGCACCCGCCACCACACCCGGCTAATTTTTGTATTTTTCGTAGAGACGGGATTTCACTATGTTGGCCAGGCTGATCTCGAACTCCTGACCTCAAGTAATCTGCCCACCTCGGCCTCCCAAAATGCCGGGATTACATGCGTGAGCCACTGTGCCTGGCCGAAGCTCAAGTTTATCATTGGTAAAACATGGGAGTCTGATGTTTTGCTCTGTTCATCTCATGGTTATTGTGCAGACTACAGGGATGATAAATGTGAGGGTGCCTTGTAAATGGTGCACTGCTGTATCCGCATGACAGCTACTGTCAGACCTGGAATGAAGCCTGCAGGGCACAAGGCCAGACTATGTGGTCAAGTCGATGCATTTGTTCAGGCCATGTGGCCTCTCTGTGCTATAGTTTCTTCTATTGTAATACAGGAATCATAACCCCCAACTTTTCCCTGCCACCCAGGATGTGCTTGGATTGCTTGCATGAGAGCCCCAAGTCCTCTGGCAAAGCGAGGACGGAAACCCAGGGCCAAATCAATCACATTCATTCTGGTTACTTTTACGCTCTTGACTCTAAGGTTTCATTCTTGGATGCCTCCCTGACCTAATCATGCTTACAACTGTCTTTCCTCTTATACTACCAGCCCACATATGCTTGGAAAAAGCAAGATGATGGTACTATTAAAGCAGTAAACCTGTAGCCTTTTAACTCTATCAACATCAAAAGGAAAAGAAAGCCCCAGAATTCATCATAAAACCTATTGGGCCTTCTGGATGCTGTGGCTCACACCTGTAATCTCAGCACTTTGGGAGGCCGAGGCGGGCAGATCATGAGGTCAGGAGATCAAGACCATCCTGGCTAACACGGTGAAACCCTGTCTCTACTAAACATACAAAAAATGTGCTCATAGTCCCAGCTACTCAGGAAGGTGAGGCTGGGGAATCACTTGAACCTGGGAGGCAGAGGTTGCAGGGAGCCGAGGTCGTGCCACTGCACTCCAGCCTAGGCAACAGAGTGAGACTCTGTCTCAGACAAACAAACTAAACCTATTGGAGTTTGTGTTACTCATTACTTTGGATACTGTGTCACCTTTCCTACTGGTGATGAATAAGAAAGCTACTTAGGTGGCTCATGGTCTCAGGACGGTGCTGAGAGCTGGAAGGATGTCAGGAAATCTAGGAACCAAACCACATGATTCCTAGGAACCACAATGTAGTGTGATAATTGTGATTAAACATAGGATCTAAAAAAACCAAATCATCCCATCAAAAAGTGGGCAAAGGTCATGAATGGTCAATTCTCAAAAGAAGATATACAACCAGCCAACAAACATGAAAAAATGCTCAACATAACCAAATATCAGGGAAATGCAAATTAAAACAATAAGATACCACTTTATTCCTGCAAGAACGGCCATAATTAAAAGGTCAAAAAATAATAGATGGTGGCCTGGATATGGAGAAAGGGAACACTTTTACACTGCTGGTGGGAGTGTAAACTACTACAACCACCATGAAAAACAGTGTGGAGATTCCCTAAAGAACTGAAAGCAGAACCACCATTCGATCCAGCCATCCCACTTCTGGGTATCTACCCAAAGGAAAATCAGTCATTATATGAAAAAGACACATGCACATGCATGTTTATTGCAGCACAATTTGCAGTTGCAAAGATATAGAACCAACCTAAGTGCTCATCAACCAACAAGTGGATAAAAAAAAAAAAATGTGGTCTATATACACCATGGAATACTACTTGGCCATAAAAAAGAATGAAATAATGTGCTTTGCAGCAACTTGGATGGAGCTGGAAGCCATTATTCTAAGTGAAGTAACTCAGGAATGGAAAACCAAATATTGTATGTTCTCACTTATAAGTGGGAGAGCAAAGCTATGAGGATGCAAAGGCATAAGACTGATATAATGGGCCAGGCATGGTGGCTCACGCCTGTAATCCCAGCACTTTGGGAGGCCTAGCGGGCATATCACTTGAGGTCAGGAGTTCAAGACCAGCCTGGCCAACATGGCGAAACCCCGTCTCTACTGAAAAATACAAACAAAATTTAGCCGAGAATGGTGATGTGTGCCTGTGATCCCAGCTACTTGGGAGGCTGAGGTGGGAGAATCACTTGAACCTGGGAGTGGAGGTTGCTGTGAGCTGAGATTGCACTACTATACTCCAGCCTGGGCAACAGAGCAAGACCCTGTCTCAAAAAAAAAAAAAAAAAAAGAACGATATAATGGACTTTGGGGACTCAGAGAGGAAGGGTGGGAGAGGTGAGGGACTAAAGATTACATACTGGGTAGAGTGGACACTGCTCAGGTGACAGGTACACCCAAATCTCAGAAATCACCACTAAAGAACTTACTCATGTAACCAAAAACTACCTGTACCGCAAAAAGTGTTGAAATAAAAATTAAAAATAAATATAAATAGTATAAAAAAGGATCTTCCAATTTATGTTTCCTTGATTAGGTATGGCATTCACTTGCTCTCTGACCAGGCAGCAAACCCAAGCAGCACTCAAGGCCCTGGAATCTTGGAGTGCAGTGGAGGGATGGGACCTAGGAACGCTGACCTGCCCACTCTTGAGGACCGGCCTGGCCATGCCCAGGGACCATGACAGTCATGGCTGTGCTCACTGATGTTTCCCCCGAGGTGGGTCTGCCACTTGCTGCATTACTGCCAGGACCACCATTTGGACCAATGCGTGTCATGTGTCCACTATTTACAGTTCACCAGAACCTTCATATCCAACACGACATCTGAGCTTCATGACCCCCCTGTGGGAGAGGTTCCTAACCAGCCCCACCTCTTAGAGTCTGAGGTTTAGAGAGGCCAGGGAGGAAACTGAGCTTGCACTCAGGGCCTCCCCTCCCAGGGCTGGTGCTCTTCCCGGGACACTGGAAGGATGCAGAGTTTACAGCCCGAAAGGCACACCTGAGGAAGGGAGGGAGAGCAGGACTCTGAAACAGCAGTGACATAGCTGTGACAATTGGGATGCAGAGTGAGCCCGCTTATAACGTATGTCTTACGTGAGATTTACAGGCAGGCAAAGTAATCTGCTCAGAGCATATGCCTGGCATCAGAGTGCACTGTGACTAGTTTCTGCGGGTGGGTGTTAGGGTAGGCTCACAGATTTCTGTAACACCTCCAAGACAGCCCCGTTCAGTCTTTGGCCCTCAAATCCCTTCGCCTGACAAAGCCCTTCAACCTTCAGCCATAAACCCAGTTTAGGCCAAGCCCCTCTCTGGTCCCCAGAGGACCCGTGCTGTTCACCGCCCCCATCACCCCAGCTCACTTAGCTCGGCCTCCTGCCACAGCCTGGTTTAAGAAGGCATTAGAACTGGTTTCTTTCCCAGTGCCAACAGAGAAGCCCTTCAGGGAAGGGTTGAATTCCCGGAGAATGTCTGCAAATACAAGGAAAAGACACGCTTAGTGACTACCGCAAAGCAATCTTCAAATTCCTTTGATAAGCACCAGTGGGTGTTAGGGAGCAGAGTCCCCACTCCACAGCCCCTACTCTTACCCCAACCTTCATTCAGCATGGGAAGAAAACGTTCAGCAGGCACTAGCTTAACACTTAACAACAGGGCAGCACACAACAGATGTTTCATCAATTATTGCTGAGGAAATGTAAGTCTGGGTTACATGCTTTTCTCATGTAGTTTTCTTTTTTACTACATATATAGCAGCTTTATTGAAATATAATTCACTTACCACAAAATTTACCAATTTAAAGTATACAGTTCAATAACTTTTAGCAAATTCACATAGCTGTACAATCATCACCATGTAATCAACTTTAGAACATTTTCATCATCCCAGAAAGAAACCCAGTACCCACTAGCAGTCACTCCCCATTCCCTGCAACCTCGTGGCAATTGTGGATCTACTCTGTCTCTGTAGTCTTGCTTATTCAGGCCATTTCATATGAATGAAATCATATAGCCCAACATACCTTTTGTGACTGGCCTCTTTCACTTAGCGTACTATTTTCAACATTCGCCCATGTTGTAGCATACATCTGTACTGCATTCCTTTTTATTGTTGAATAATATTCCATAGTATGGATATACCACATTTTATTTATCCATTCTTCAGTTGATGGGGCTTTGGGGTTATTTCCACATATTGGGTATTATGAAAAATGCTGCTATGAACATTTGTGTACAAGTTTTTGTGTGGATTTCTCTTGGATATGTATCTAAGAGTAGAAAAGATATACATATTTTTTAATGTATGTATCTTTTAATGTATGTATCTGTTTAACCCTAGCCCTAACCCTGTTTAACCTTTTAAGGAACTGCCAGGACTTTCCTCAAAGCAGCTACACCATTTTTACATTCCCACCAGCAGTTTCTGAGGGCTTCAATATTTCCATATCCCCGTCAACACTTATTATCTTTCTATTACAACCATGCTAGTGGATGTGAATTGATATCTCATGGTGGTTTTGATTTGCACTGATGGCTACTGATGTTGAGCATATTTTCATGTGCTTACTAGCCACTTGTAGAAATGTTTATTCAGATCCTTTGCCCAATTTTAACTGGGTTATCATCTTATTATTGAGTTGTAAGAGTTCTTTATAATTTCTAGATACGAGTTTCTTATTAGATATAGGATTGGCAAGTGTTTACTTCCACTCTTTGGGTTGTCTTTACTTTCTTTATGATATGCTATCCTTTGAAGCACAAAATATCGATTTTTCTTTTGTCACTTGTGCTTTTAGTGGTATTTCGAAGAAGACTTTGTTTAGCTCAAGATCATAAAGATCTGCTTCTATATTTTCTTCCTAGAATTAGTTGTAGCTCTTACGTTTAGGTCTATGATTCATTTTAAGTAAATTTTTGTATAAGGTGTGAGGTAGGAGTTCAACTTCATTTTTTTGGTGTGTATCTAGTTGTTTCAGCACAATTTATTGAAAAGCCTATTCTTTCCCCCATTGGTTTTGGCATCCTTGCTGAAAATGAGTTAACCATCAATATGAGAGTTTAATTTCTCTCAATCTTAGTCCATTGTTTGATATGTCTATCTTTATGCTAGTACCACGTGTCTTGATTACTATAGCTTTATAGTAAGTTTTGAAATTGGTAAGTATAAATCCTCTGAATTTGTTCTTTTCTAGATTTCTTGGGATATTCTGGGTCCCCCGAATTCCCACATGAATTTTAGGGTCAGCTTGCAAATCTCTGCCAAGGAGCTACCTGGAATTTTGATAGGGATCACACTGAATCCATAGATTTGGGGAGTATTATCATTTTAAGAATATTAAATCTTCTAATCCATGAATGTCAGATGTTTTTCTACTTACTTAGGTCTTTAATTTCTTTCAGCAATGTTTTGTGATCTTAAGAGTAAAAGCGATGCTCTTTTCTGGTTAAATTTATTCCTAAGTATTTTATTATTTTTGATGCTATTGTAAATGGAATTTCATTTTCATATTAATTGCTAGTATAAAGAATCACATTTTTGTATATTGATTTGTACCTTGCAATCACTGAACTCACTTATTAGCTCTAATAATTTTTAGTGGATTTCTTGGGATAGTCTCTATATAGTATAATGTCATCTTTAAATAGAAGTGGTTTTATTTCTTTATTTCCAATCCTATTACTTGTTCTTCCATTTTCTTGCCTAACTGCCATGGCCAGTGTGATGTTGAATAAAAGTGGCAAGAGCATGCATCCTTGTCTCACTCCTGATATCAGAGAGAGGGGGCAGCATTCCACCTTTCACCATTGCCTGTGATGTCAGCTGTGGGCTCTTAAAAGATACCCTTTATCAGAGTGAGGAATTTTCCTTCTATTTCTAATTTGTTGTTTTTTTACTTTATTTATTTATTTTGAGACAGTTTTACTCTGTCACCCAGGCTGGAGTGAAGTGGCGCAATCTCAACTCACTGCAACCTCTGCCTCCCAGGCTCAAGCGATCCTTGTGCCTCAGCCTCCCAAGTAGCTGGGATTACAGGCACCTGCTACCACACCCGACTAATTTTTGTGTTTTTAGTGGAGACAGGGTTTCACGGTGTTGGCCAGGCTAGTCTCTAACTCCTGACCTCAAGTGATCCACCTGCCTAGGCCTCCCGAAGTGCTGGTAGTACAGGCATGAGCCACTGCACCCAGCCTTTGTTGAGTGTTTCTATCGTGAAGTGGTGTTAGATTTTTGTTAAATGCTTTTTCTGATCCATTGAGATGATCATGATGTGTGGTTTTTGTCTTTTATCCTATTGACATAGAATATTACATTAATTGATTTTGAGGTTGAAAACTAACCTCATATTCCTGGGCTAATTCCACTTAGTCATGAGGTGTATATATATATATTTTATTGCTGGATTTTGTTTGCTAGTATTTTCTGTAGGATTTCTCGGTCTACATTCATAATACTTACTGGTCATACTTTGCTTCCCTTGTGATGTCTTTGTCTTATTTTGCTATCAGGGTAAAACTCATAGAATGAGGTGTGAAACATTCCTTCCTCTTCCGTTTTTGGGAGGAGTTTGTGAAGAACTGGTGATTGATACTAATGTTCGATAGAATTCACCAGCGAAGCCAGAGACAGTCTGGGCTTTTTTGGGTAGGAAGTTTTAAAATTATTAATTCAATCTCTTTGCTTGTTATAAATCTATTCAGATTTTCTACTTTTTATGGAGTCAATTTCAGTAGTTTGTGCCTTTCTAGGAATTTGTCCATTTCATCCAAGTTATCTGATTTATTGGCATACAACTGTTCATGGTATTCTCTAATAACCCTTTTTATTTCTGTAAGGTTGGTAGTATCTCCTCTTTCATTCTTGATTTTGAGTCCCCCTCCCTTTTGCCAGTCTAGTTAAAGTTTTGTCAGTTTTGTTGAACTTTGCAATCTCATGCATTCTAATTGCCTTTACTAATATGGATCACACTTTTCACTTTTTCATCTTTCCAACTTGGCGAGCCCTCCTAAGAGCAGAGTCTATATACCCCAGGGCCTCATATAATGCTCAACACGTTTATGGACTGAATTAGAAATAAAGCAAAGTTCAGACAAGCTTGGAGACTTGCTCAAAGTCATGTAGCTGCTGAGAATGGCTGGTCTCTCAGCTCCAATACAAGGGCACTTGCCCCCGCTGTCTCACAATCTGCTAGGATGTGAGAAAGAAACTGGGTGGGTAGCAGCCAGGACTTTAGGGCCCCTTCCAGTAGAGTGCTTGCTAGAACCCAGCACTGCTGCAGGTTTACTCAGCACAGACGGATTGGACTCATTCCTTGAGGTTGGGGGACATTACACTAATAAATGGAAATTGCTCCGATTTCTACTCAAGAGAAGAAAGGACTGTGAAATCACCTGAGCGATTTGAAAGTGGAATGGTTTGTCCTAGGAAGTGGTAGGTTCCCTAGGAGGTAGAAGGAACTCAGCACAGCCTACCCAGCTACTTAGGAAGAATGTCATAGGGAGGAACCACACATTGAGTAGGGCAACAAGTTGCTGGTGCAGGCAGTTATCTCTGCCAGGAACATTCTCTCCCCTTTCCTTACCTGACGAATTCTCATTCTTGAAGCTCCTTTTCAGAAGACAGGGTTAATAGCCTCTATGTTTATTTTCCCCTAAGCTTTGTACACATCTATAAATATTAGTCATGTGTCTGTCTTTAGGAAGACAAGCTGCCAAAGAGACTTTGGTGATGTCATTGGGGCACTGTTCTCCTATTTTCCAAGCACTCCAGCACTGGAATATTTGCTGGATTAAATTGAACAGGGGGTTGAATGGGGATTTTGTTCTGCCCTTACATTTGTATGAGTTTTCTAACACATTTCCGTATAGTTATTTCCCCATGGATTATCTATCCCCTACAATCAGATAGTCTTCACATCTCTAGCAAGAAGAGTCTAAATAGCTGGTAATCCATTTCTGGGCTAAGTGTGCCAGGGGAGTCATCCACCTGAGGGGTGACATTGTCTCAATCCTTTGTAAATTACTTTGGGGAAAGACGTGAAGTCAAATAATATCCAATTATCTTGTCCATTATACGAGCATAGAAGTAGACAGCCCAGAAAGCTGTTGTATGCAGTGGGCCATTCCACAGCCAAGTTCATCACACTCACAAAAGCACCCTGAACCATCTTCTAGCAATAGAGGAACTGATTTATAGCTCACATATGTAGACCTAAAGAAGGCAAGGAGTGCTTGTGGCACAGAACCCTGTCTACCTAAATTCAACAGGATTTACAAATAACCAAAACAGGTAATGTGAAGTCTGCTCAGCTCTGCTCTGCCTATGTGGAGATTAAGCTATGATGTCCCCCTCATCCAAGTCTTGGTGGCTTCAAGTTCAAGTTGTTAGCTTCTAAAGATATATTACAAAGGGATATGTACCAGGGAAGTAAATGAGAATGGGACCAATTAAATTCCTCCCAGACAAAATTATCAGCCAGAAGATTCCAGGAAAAGAATTCAATTTAAACATGTATGGCTTGCATACTTTAAGAACAAGCACGGAGATGTGTATGCACTGGGGAGAATTTTAAAAAGGTGATAAGACCAGACCCTTCAGAGAATATAGTCAGGCTTTAAAAAGTCATTCCGCCTGTAATCCCAGCACTTTGGGAGGCCAAGGCGGGTGGATCACTAAGTCAGGAAATTGAGACCATCCTGGCCAACATAGTGAAACCCTGTCTCTACTAAAAATACAAAAATTAGCCGGGAATGGTGGTGGACGCCTGTAGTCCCAGCTACTCGGGAGGCTGAGGCAGGAGAATGGCGTGAGCCAGGGAGGTGGAGGTTGCAGTGAGCCGAGATGGAGTCACTGCACTCTAGCCTGGCAATAGAGCAAGACTCCGTCTCAAAAAAAAAAAAATAAAGAAAAAAATCATTCCGAGCAGGTTGGTGGGAAGTAAATTAAGAAAAGTGTTGAGTCCCAAAGATGGCTGTGTCTGCACAACCTGGACAAGGTAACTTCATATCCTCCTGCGGCAAGAGCAGCAGCAGTTCCTACAGCAACTCCGCAATTCAATGTCTGTGCGCAGCTGTGCCTGCGCTCCAGGTGCCTGGATCGATGGCTCTCGCAGGGGGGTTATCTGCTCGGAAAGGCAGGTGCTGCACACCCTGGTTTCCTTTTCTTCTTTCTTGAATCACTTTTCTTTATTCTCTCTAATCTCATGCCAGATTATTGAATCACTTTTTAATGACTTGCACTAAGACGTGATCTGAGCTCTTTTTTTTCCCGCTTTACTTTCTTCCTTCCTCGGACAAAGACAATTTCTTTTTGACACCTCCCCGCCCCCGGCCCCCAAGCCTCGAACCCCACTCCGCCCCCAACTCCAAGGCTTCCGTCACTATCGGAAGCGGAGCTGGGAGTCTTGGGAGGCAGCGCCCCCTGGTGAATTTAGTGGGCTCCTGCAGCCGGCGTTCCTCCCGAGGCCGGCGCCACCTGCCGGGGGAGCGGGAAGCATGCAGGGGCCGCCCCAAACCAAACAGCCCGGCCGCCGCCTAGTACTCACTCGCCAGGGTGGTAACGGTGCTGACGCTCTCATCTCCGCCGACGCTGTATTGTGAGTCCAAGAAAGAAAACGAAGGGTTAAAAATGCCAGCCACGCCGAGACCCTTCAGACACTAGCCAGAAACGCCCATCTCCCGAGAAACAGCCGTGGGGCTTGGAGCTTGCCCTTTCCCATCACTTCAGTAGAAAAATGGAAAAAGCAAACCAGAATATGACTCCCCTCCCCATAGGCCAGCACATCAAACAACAAGCCAGCTTTAAACCGGCGGCTGATTTCCGCTGGTGCTGGGGCAGGGGAGGCAGGTGGGTTCCTTGCACTCCCGCTTTCAAAGGGGAAGTAGTCCCTCGTCTGCCAGCCCCTTTCCAACTAGCCACTGCACCGTGCATTAATATTATTGGTGTAAACGTAGTCTTAAAAAACGCTGGCCCTATTTTTTCTCTTTTCTCTTCCTGCTTGGCTTGTAAAAGCCGTTTCTAAAAGGTGTCTTCTAGAAACTCAGCCATCTTCCAAGCCAATACTAAAATTCCAAGGTGATCAAAGTGAGAAGGATTTCTAGGCATGCAAATATGCAGCATTCCAGAGTGGACTGGATTCCCTACTTTTCCACACCCCCCACCCCATTCTGTGCCACGCGTGTCTAGGAGCATCTAAAAGGTTCTCCAAATGTTTGGGTTTTAACTGTGCAGCAACGTGAGGAAGGATGCCAGAGAGTCGGCACTGAGGTTAAAGCAGGTGTCAGATGGAGATGCCAGATTCCAGGTGAGGAAACACCAAGCCTTCCCGAGCTTGCAGCAGAGGTTTGATCGCATGCAGAGCAGAAATAAGCCTGCCCAAAGTGATACATGAGAAGGGAATGCACTGGTAGGGGCCAGCAAGTATCTGCTCTGCTTCATGATCTTTTACCTTCTGGCTCTGTGATCTTGGTCAGGTTACTTGCCCTCTCTGAGCCTTGTTTCCTCATCTGTAAAATAAAGGCCCTATAACAACAATGCCAACTACCAGATACTTACTTTGTGTCAAGCAGTGTGCTGGACACTTAAATTCTTTCTAGTCCTCAGACAGTGCTCAGGTAGTAGCATTGTTTCTGCATCAGAGATGAGGAGAGAGGCTCAGAGAGGTTAGGGAACTTGCCCAAGGTTACATCCAGCTGGGTAGCTAGGGCTCAGTTACAACTCTGGTTCCAAAGGCAATGATCTGTGCATCACTCAGGCCACTGCCTCCTTCTGAGATTATATCGCAGAGGGAGAAATGGAAGCCAGAGAAGCATTTCCAACCCAAACATTTATGTAGTTTCTCTCCTAGACTCGGCTCAAGGCTCAGCTACTGTTCTGGGCAATGTAGTGGTTTGAGGAGGCTGGTGAACACCTTTTTCAAATTAAACCTAGAAGTTGGTCATAGAAAAGAACAAAGCAGCCCACCCCCTGCTTAAGGTGTTGTTTTCTAGAATGCTCAGGGGGTTTCCCTTGCTCTGCAATGAAGGGGTCCTTGGGGCCTTGCCACTCCCTCACTCACCTCCAGGACAGGCCTCGGTACTGAGTCAAGACGTCCAAGATGTTTCCAGGTGTGGACCCAGCCCCATTGCCTGCCTGAGAGAGAACGACGAGGGGGTGAGTTTCTTTGCTTTCCCCAGTGGCCCACCTCTGCCTGCCTGCCAAAAGGTCTATGTTTTTATGCTGGCCAGGACCGCCTGGGCACTCTCTGGGATCTAGGGTCTAGATGGCACCATATCTCCATATGCATCCTGCCTTTTCAGAGGTGAGTGAGAGCGCCCACTGGGAAGGCCTGGTGCTGTTCACAGCTCTGCTTCATTCTAAGAAACCCTGCCTAGGGCAAGACCAAGTGAAACTTGTCTAGCAAAAGTGCTCTTGAAATTAGACTGTATCTTTTCAAAAGGATACATTTCAGGGTCCTGTTTTTCTCATTTTTTAAAAGCTGTGAAGTATATCATAAAAGGAAATATATCATTATCCTTTTATACCAATATCTCTCACCTATGCACAGTTTAAAATGTAGTAATAAAATGAAATCCCACGTAGCCATCATCAGCTGAAGAAAGCACAATGTGGACCCTCTTCAGGTGCATGTCCCTTGCCTAAAGCACGTTGTTTCTGAGCATTTGGAAGAGCATGCCAAGACAGGCCTCCTAGGCAGTTGGGGGTGAAGTCTGGTCTCCACAAGAGGCCCCCAGATGTGATCCCTGCTCTCTGATGCCCAGTTCCTTTGCTACTTGCCAGGCAGGTTCACACCCAAAGTGCTGCCTCCCTAGGAACCCCTGAACAGCTGTGCTGAGATGTGATGACCCCCTGTCCTGAGAGTATCTTCGAGGAGACCAGGGAATTGGGAGGAGGTGATGCCAGGCCCTGCCAGGCAGGAAGAGGTTGGGATAAGCAGTACATGAAGCCGCTAAGGCCCAGTCTGCCCGTCCTTCCTGGGAGGTTATGAGCAGTCAGGCCTTTGGGGTGAAGAGTGGCTGAGGGGCCATGGAGAAGGCTGTCACAGCACAGGGATAGGGCCCTGGACTTAGGGTCAGGATCCCTGAGTTCTGATCCTGACTCGAGCACTTACAAGCTGTGTGGCCTGAGGCACTTCACCTTGCCCAGCTTCATTCACCTTCTTACTGATTTAGAGACACGGCCTTGCTCTGTTGTCCAGCCTGGAGTGCAGTTTGCACCATCACGGCTCATTGCAGCCTCGATATCCTGAGCTGAAGTGATCTTCTAGCCCCAGCCATTCAAGTAGCTGGGACTATAGGCATGCATCACTAGGCTTAATTTTTTTTCTTTTTTGGTAGAAATTGGGTCTTGCTGTGTTGCCCAGGCTCATCTTGACCCCCTGGCCTCAAGTGATCCTTTTGCCCTGGCCTCCTAAAGTGCTGGGATTACAGATGTAAGCCACTATGCCTAGCTTTTTTTTTTTTTTTTTCATTTTTGTAGAGATGGAGTCTTGCTATGTTGCCCAGGCTGGTGTTGACCTCTTGGCCTCAAGTGATCCTCCCACCCTGGCCTCCTAAAGTCCTGGGATTATAGATGTGAGCCACTGGGCCCAGACTTTATTGGTCAAATTTAAAGAAAGTCATACCTCACAGGATTTTGTCATGAAGATACATCCCACTGAGTGGGACGATATCACTGTGATAGACCATAGACATGAAAGGTGTCGGCTTGTTCTTGGGGAGGATTCAGCTGGAGGCCCTCTATTCTACTGGCCCAGGGAATAGCAGCTGGACTCTGATGAGAGGCTGTTGAATGGAAGCTGTGTCTAGGAACCTCTGGGATCCCCAGCCCCCAGGCTCTCAAAAGGCCTGATTCTGCTTTTCATGGATAGTGCTTTGCAGGGTCTGAGGTGTCACCCTGGGGCAGATGCAGAGGTGGGTTTGGAACATCTCTGGCCTATCTGTCTCTTCCACAGACTCCCGTCTTCCCACCCTCCCCAACCTCCCTGCCCCCATTAGCACTTGCTCCTGTCTCATCATCTCTTCACCCCTCATCCTGGTACCTTCCCTTAGCTTTTCTACATGGACAAAACCAAGCACTGGATCCTTGGAGGAGTTAGTTCTACAGCATGGTCTGGAGATCTTATCCATCCTGCCCCACTGCTGACCAGCTGTGTGACTTGGGGTGGGTCACTCCTGTCACCCACACTCCCTCTTTCCTTCATCTCAGCATTGGGGAGGAAGATGAGACAAGAATGGAGGTGGGAAACCATGATGGGAAGGGAATGCTGTTGAATACCAGGGTGGGTCAGACAATGGAGAGATGGAGATCAGGACCCGAGATGGAGAGATGGAGATCAGGACCCGAGATGGCAGCATCTAAAAGCCAGGAGTGAGACCTTCTCTCTCCATTTTCCTCTTCAGGTTCTCATATTAGTCAAAATCTTTTCCCCTCCTGCCCCTTCGGCATCAGGGTCACTTACCGTGAGAGAGTCACCCAGGGCTCCAATTACGTTGATGTCAGCCGGCTTCAGCCTATGAACTAAGAATACAAGCAGGAGTGAGTGGAAAATGGGGCTTCTAGGAAAGCACTGGACCCATCGACTCTGAAACAAAGGAATAACTTCTAGGATAATGAAGAAAAAGTCAGTTTTTACCACCAAGACACCTCGGATAAAAGACAGGAAAAACCCATGCTTGTCAATGGGCTCTGCAGTGCCAGCCGTGGAGTCTGACTGCTGGCTTCCTCTCTGGGGCACCTGGACACCGGAACAGCAAGCTTAAAGGTGGATCCTGCTTTAAGTGGGGAGCTGTGTTCACATTTGGTGAGACCAGATGCTACAAGGCGAGTGGTGGCAGGCCCTTGGCAAGGTGATTTGGGAGGAGGGAAGGAATTGCCATGGAAATGCAACCAATACTTAATCTATTCTAGGATCTGATGATATTTGGGATAAAATATTACATCATCCTATCAAAATCAGTTCAGTTTCTCTAAAGTGAAAAGGGAATACTTTTATGCCACTGACTTTTTTTTTTTTTTTTTTTTTGAGACGCAGTCTCGCTCTGTCGCCCAGGCTGGAGTGCAGTGGTGCGATCTTGGCTTACTGCAACCTCCACCTGCCAGGTTCAAGCTGTTCTCCTGCCTCAGCCTCCTGAGTAGCTGGGACTATAGGCATGCATCACCACACCTGGCTAATTTTTGTATTTTTAGTAGAGACGGGGTTTCACCATGTTGGCCAGGATGGTCTCAATCTCCTGACCTTGTGATCCACTCGGCTCAGCCTCCCAAAGTGCTGGGATTACAGGCAAGAGCCAATGCACCCAGCTGACTGTTTTTTAATTGAGATGAAATTCACATAACTAAAATTAACCATTTAAAAAGTGAACAGTTCAGTGGCATTTAGTACGTCCACAATGTTGTGCAACTATCACCTCTATCTAGCTTTGAAACATTTTCATTACCCCAAAAGGAGACCCTATACCCATTAAGTGGTCACCTCCATTTCTCCCTCCTCCCAGTCCCTGGTAACCAATACCCTGCTTTCTACCTCTATGGATTTATCTATTCTGGATATTTCATGTACATAGAATCATATAATATGTGACTTTTTATATTTGGCTTCTTCTATTTTACATAATGTCTTCAAGGTTCAATTATGTTATAACATGTATTAATACATTCGTTTTATTTTTATGTTTTGAGACAAAGTCTTACTCTGTCACCTAGGTTGGAGTGCAGTGGCTTGTGATCATGGCTCACTGCAGCCTCGACCTCTTGGGCTCAAGTGATCCTCCCACCTCAGCCTCCTGAGTAGCTGGGATTATAAGTGTATACCACCATGCCCAGCCAATTTTTTTATTTTTTGTAGAGAGAGAGAGTCTCCCTATGTTGCCCAGGCTGGTCTCGAACTCCTGGCCTCAAGTGGTCCTCCCACCTCAGCCTCCCAAAGTGCTGGGATTACAGGCATGAGCTACGGAGCCCAGCCACCTCATTCCTTTTTATTGTTGAATGATATTCCATTGTATGGATGTACCATACTTTTGTTTATCCATTCATCCATTGACAGGCATTTGGGTTGTTTCCACTTTTGGGCTATTGTGACTAGTATTGCTATAAATATCTGTGTACAAGTGTTTGTCTGAATGCCCGTTTTCAACTATTTTGGTATACACCTGAGAGTGGAATTGGTGGGTTATATGGTAATCCTATGCTTATCTTTTTGAGGAAGCATCAAGCTCTTTTCCACAGCTTGACTATATACAATTTTTATCTTTTGAGTTTAAGCATTCTGTGTGATGTGGCAGCTATTAACTCACAGGACAAACATATTGAACACCAAGCAGTGGCTGGGTGCTTTGGAGACCACACAGTGATCAGATACAGAGAATGCCCTCAAAAAGCTCACAAGCTAAGGAGAAAATGAGAAATAGCCATAGTTACTATGGTGTAAGACTGATAAACACTAACAGAGGTGTGAAGTGATGTAAGGTTATAGAGCTGGAGGGATGATCTCCCTCTGGGGGGGCCTGAGGAGAGGGTCACAGCAGGCTTCATGGAGAAGGTCGCATTTGAATTAAGCCTCAGGAATAAGAGGAGGATGAGGGAGCGCGAGATCGGGTAATGGAGGGAAAAGCCTGATGGATGGATGTCGTAGGGTCAAGCTTGGATGTCTTGAAAGCCCAGTTAGTCACACAGTTTGCTTCCATGAAGCATATATGAGACAGCAAAGAGAAAACCACCTTGGAAAGGTAGGTTAGGGCCACAGGGCCTAACCAATATCTGGTAATCAATAATCTGCTTTCTGCTTCTATGGATATTTCATATAAATAGAATAATATAATATATGACTTTGTCTGGCTTCTTCTACTTTGTATAATGTTTTCAAGATTCAATTATATTATAGCATCTATCAATATATTCATTTTATTTTTATTTTTTGAGGCAAGGTCTCACTCTGTCACCTAGGCTGGAGTGCAGTGGCGTGTGATCGTGGCTCACTGTGGCCTCGACCTCCTGGGCTCAAGTGATCCTCCCATCTCAGCCTCCTGAGTCACTGGGATTAGAGGCTTTTATGCCTGGCAAGCAAGTTAGGAGTTTAACATAGATATTGCTATATATGTAATTACTCACATACACACACAGATATTATATCTACCTACCCCCTTACCTCATACACATAAGAATGTGAATCCTAGTGTATTTGCGGGACCACACCTAGAATTCCTTAAGCTATATATAGCTTGGTCTCTCAGGTCACAAGCTTACCTCCCACTCCCCCAATTACCTCACCCCCAAGGTCACCCTGACTTGGCTACAACTCCACCTTTGCTGATGTGCTTCTGTTGTCTAGTGGTGCAACACTGCACTAAATTGCTGAAATAGTTCTTGTGGCTTAGAAGAAGCCTAGCACAGAGTTTGTACCAGGGAGTGGCCCACCCTGGTACATATCAGTGGGCCATTGCTTAAGAGGGATAAACTGAAAGTTGTCTGCAGGAGGCTTTCTCAACAGCCTTCTTTGCAAAAGACAGCTTATAAAGCCTGTAGCGTGACCAGATTACAACCCCAGCACTTTGGGAGGCCGAGACGGGCAGATCACCTGAGGTCAGGAGTCTGAGACCAGCCTGTCCAAAATGATGAAATGACGAAACCCCGTCTCTACTAAAAATACAAAAATTAGCCAGGCGTGGAGGTGTGCGCTTGTAGTCCCAGCTACTTGGGAGGCTGAGGCATGAGAATTGCTTGAACCTGGGAGGAGGAGGTTGCAGTGAGCCGAGATCGCGCCACTGCAAGCCAGCCTGGGAGACAGAGGGAGACTCCGTCTCAAAAAAAAAAAACGGTTGCAGGCCTACAGTGAAACACAGGATGAGATGATTTTGACACAGCTGGACTACATATAACCCACAGAACCCGTCAACATTCAGATCGTGGCTGTGGAATGATACCTGTGCAGGAAGCCAGATTAACACTGAGTGGAAAACATACTCAGGGACTTCCAGGTCTCATCTCCTTCCATGGAGACATCTTGTCTACTTTCTTTCATGCTGTCTGCCAGTGGGGACAGCCGCTCCCAATGAGGATTTGCTCTCACTGGAAAAGTAAAAGTTCTTGCCTCTTCCTATGAAAGGATACAAACTCACACATACATAGTTGTAAATACATGCGTGCAAAATATATAGAGCAGCAGTCCTCCAACTTGAGCCTGCATCAGAATCACCTGGAGAGCCTGTGAAAACACAGATGGCTGGGCACCACCTTCAGAATTTTTGACTCAATAGGTCTGGGGTGGGCCCAAGGATTTGCATTTGCAACAAGTTTCCAGGTAATGTTGATGCTGCCAGTCCAGTCTGGGTACCACATTTTGAGAATCACTGATAGAGACACTTGGTCTCTATCAAAGCCATTGACTGCAGTCAAGTACTGCGCTTGGACCTGAAAAGCCTGGAATCAAGCCCAGGAGGCGGAGGCTGCAGTGAGCTATGATTGCGCCACTGCACTCTAGCCTGGGCAACCAAGTGAGCCCGTCTCTAAAAAAAAATACATAAGTAAAGATTTGGCTGCGTGCAATGGCTCACACCTATAATCCCAGCACTTAGGGAGGCCAAGTTGGGAGGATCACTGGAGCCCAGAAGTTTGAGACCAGCCTGGGCAATATAGTGAGACCCCTTCACTAAAAAAGAAAAAAAGACTAGAGTTGTTTCTCCCATGTATATGTGTACATTGTCTTGTGGCCCTCACAACTGTAGCTGCCATTGCACAGACTGATGACAGCTCTGTCTCTTAGATTCAAGAGGTGCTGAGTATCTTTCTTCAGTGTTCTTTCTCCTCCCCCTCACCATGCCTTGAATCCACACACACACACACACACACACACACACACACACATCCCATGCACACACTCAGCCTTCCATATGATTATAGCCTACTTGGCTCTTCCCAGCCATCCACAGCTATACCATGTGGTTAGAAGAACAATATCAAATCACAAAGCCAGCTGCACACATTAGCGCATGTCCACTAGGCTGAGCAGGAGAACTTTAAAACGACCTCTTCTCAAATAAATCAGGTGATGGGGTTAAAAAGGCAACAAAACAAAAAAAATAAGACCTTCTCCCTTCAACTCTAGAGTGGTTTATTTTAGCTCCTGGTGATAACAGTCAAACACTATATTCTTACTGCCATAATGCATCATACACTGAATCCTGTGAATACTAGCTAGTGTGCAAAGGTTAGCGGAAATCTTTGGGGCTGGAAAAATACAGAAGAGATAGATAAATTTGATTCAAAAGTATTATCACTACAGTTTGCTAAAGAGGCAGCTGAAACCTACCATTCCTGTCTCCTAAATTTGTAGCAGGCAGAACACACACACACACACACACACACACAGACACACACACATACCTATGTTTATGTCTATGTGTACGTACACATGTATAGATAGACTGATTGATCTACAGCTATACCACCCTGAACATGCCCGATCTCATCTGATAGATTGGTTGATTGTGGTGGGGGTGGTTCTCCAGTTGGCCATTCTGAAGGAGTCTCAGGAAGAGATACAGTAATAAACCAGATGAAGCAAACCTGGGTGGGAGGAGTTGACTTAATCTGGGATTTTATTGTTAAGATAGAGCACATCGCATTTCATTGGCCTAATTTCCGTAGACCTTGATTTGAGGTTTGTTAATGTCATCATTAATGACAAACATAGCTTAGAAATACAGTAAAGCACTTTAGCAGTTGCTCTCCCTGGAAAAAGAACTATTTAGTGATAAGATTAAATTTGTGTGGGCTGATTAGCTAAACATTATCTGGTACAAACTGTCCACCACCTTGAGAGAAGCTGATAAACACATCGTTAACTCATCATGATTTCTACAGAGGGGGCCTCTTATCAGAAGGCCATCCAAGCCATGATGAAGTATCACAAATAGCAAGGAAATTGCACACTAGACTGTAGAGTGGGGACACTGCCCACTGTACACGGAAGGTCACACCCAGGAGAAAGGCTTGGCTTGCTGGGGCTTTGTCTTGTGTAACCCAGCAACTTAAACCACGTGGGGCCCTAATCTGAAAAACGTGCCTTCTCTCAATTGTCACCAAGCGTTGCCCAACCCATTTGCCGTCTGATTTTAGGGACTTATGTTAAGATTTCCACAATGGCAGTAAGCAGCTGCCTCAAGATTGGAACCATGTTTTGCCTTTGGAATCTTCGGTGTGAGTTTCCATGAACCAATGTGTACCTTCCACAGGGGAGCTCAAGAAACGTGTTAACTGGAATTAAAGGCTAAGTGACTCTGTGACAGGGACTTTACAGATCTCAAAGTTTTAGATGACGAAAACCATAGGGCAGGGAAACACTTACTCCTCTACGTGTTGGGGGAGTTTGAACTCACTCAGTAGGCTGGTTGTGCCCAGGGACAAGCAGGCTGTTATTTCCCACAGGGCATCATTCCTTCCTGATGACACGGTAGGTCAAGTCACAGGACCCCTGAGTAGGTGGTGACCACAGAAACAGCCTCATGAGCTACACGGAACATTGCACTGCTGGCTCACGACGAGATGATGCCCCTAGTGAATGACCATCCAGTGCTGTAACCTGGTCATTTTTCATATTGACTTCTGAAGAGCTAATTTTAGCCAAATGGGTCAAATCAATGACCTCAGGGACTTAGCAAGGAATTGATGGCTTAAAATAAATGAATGAACTGTTCTGGTTTATACTATTGGTGACAGCAGCACGTAATTAGCTTTGTGGATCCTTATTTGCAAAAGCTCTGAATTTTTCCCACTGTGTGGCATTAGCCATCAAGATAGCCACCTTCATCAGAAAGTTAATAAGCCATGTCCCCTGTGACTCCTCATTGTCACTCTTTTATTTGCAAAAAGTGACTCCTTTTCTCGCTGGGAAAATCCTAAGCCAACTAGTAGGCCCAATATGTTTTTCTTGGTTATGCTAACTATGTTAGGGACAGGGCCATCTAGCAATGGAGCATGATGTGAGTGTTTACAAAGTTGTAAAGTCCATAGGAGAGAGCACTTGGTAAATTGCATCTATGTGCTGACTAGGAGGAAAAAGTTGCAAGTTTTTAGTTTTTACTGGTTACCCAATACCAATTGGTTATTAAAAAAAAAAAATCACTTACATTAACTCTATGTGTCTCATCCCAGGGCCCTGTAGGTCACTGGATAAAGCACATCACTCATGAGCTCTGAAGTGTACTCAGAATGAGGCATCCAAGTTGCCAGGGCCACAGCCTGTTGAAGACAGGTAGCATCTCATTTTGAAACATCACTTTTAATGATGTTTAGATGCATGTATCTGTGGTCAGTTTGGAGAAGCACTAGAAAATGAGACTATAAAGGTTTTTGAAAATAACTTTGGACCAGCATAGTAGCTTATGCCTATGATCCCAGCACTTTGGGAGGCTGAGGTAGGAGGATCATTTGAGCCCAGGAGTTCGAGGCCAGCCTGGGCAACTTAGTGAGACCTTGTCTGTACAAAAAATAAAATTAGCTGGACATGATGGCATGGGCCTATAGTCCCAGCTACTTGGGAGGCTAAAGTGGGAGGATCTCTTGAGCCATGGAGGTCTAAGGCTGCAGTGAGGTGAGACTGCACCACTACACTCCAGCCTGGGCGACAGACTGAGACCATCTCAAAAAAGAAAAGGAAAAAAAAAAAAAAAAAAAAAAAGAAAAGTAACTTTCAAGGCAAAAAGCAAAACAGTTATTGTAAAAGATATTCTTAGTGAAAAATTGTTTTAATGAAAGGCATTTTGGTGTAGTTGATTTTTTTTGAATATCTTTTTTCAATCCTAGGGATTGTTGATCTGATGATTTAGAAATGCTCATTCAGATTAGTTCAGCAAACATTTATTGGGCTCCTACCATGGGCTTGAGTCATTGGAGGTATAAAGATAAGATGAGCTCCTCATATAAGACATATCTCAGGTAATTTTGATTAGAAATTACAAACATGATCTCCAGAAGAGTGCATGACCTCACCTGAAATACATGATTAATACCAAAGGAAAATAATAATATGTGCCTGTGCTGTCTTTTTACCTACCCCATCAGTCACAAGGATGGTTAGAATGTTCAATCAAAATCACTGGCACATGGCTGGGTGCAGTAACTCATGTCTGTAATCCCAGCTTTGGGAGGCCAAGGCGGGTGTTATTACCTGAGGTCAGGAGTTCAAGACCAGCCTGGCCAACATGGCAAAACCCCGTCTCTACTAAAAATACAAAAATTAGCCAGGCGTGGTGACAGGCACCTATAATCCCAGCTACTTGGGAGGCTGAGGCAGGAGAATGGCGTAAACCCGGGAGGCGGAGCTTGCCGTGAGCTGAGATCCGGCCACTGCACTCCAGCCTGGGTGACAGAGCGAGACTCCACCTCAAAAAAAAAAAAAAAAAAGCTCCTGTCACCACAGGATCTCAGATTTTAAGGCCTTGAGATTTATTGATCTTCAATCTTCAAGTGCTGATAAACACACTAATCTTCAGGGTCAGGGAATAAGGAAGAGGTTTACATTTTACTCAGCTTTTAGATGTTGAGCTATGCTCTAATGAGATTGGCTGATTATCACTGTCATGACAGAAACGTTATCTAGACAGATTACAAAATGCTTTAGAGAGCATTCTTTCAGAATAAGATTAAAAAGGGAATGGATATTACTTTGCTGTAAATGTGTGTGGCTATTAAAACATTCAGATGTTCTCTCTAGACCAGGTGAGCTGGTTTATGCCTGTAATCCCAGCGCTGGAGGATCTCCTGAGCCTGGGAGTTCAAGACCAGCCTGGGCAACAGTAAGACCCCATCTCTTAAAATAAAAAAAATAAAAAAATAAAAAAATAAAAAGGCAGGTATGGTGATGCATGCCTATAGTCCCAGCTACTTGGAGGCTGAGGCAGGAGGATCACTTGAGCCCAGGAGGTCGAGGCTGCAGTGAGTCACAGTCATGCCACTGTACTCCAGCCTGGGCAACAGAGTGAGACTCTATCTCAAAAAAAAAAATAAAAAACTTCTCTCTCTCTATATATATATCTATAGACATACACCTATATATACACACATCTATCTATATAAACACACATCTATCTGTATCTATACCTAATCTATGTATTTTTGAGTAAGGGTGTTTACCATAGGAGGGTCTACATATGAAGCTGATAATTTATTTCTGCTAATAAAATCCTGCTAGTAAACTAATAGGAATGAGTTGGCACCATGTATGGGGGGAAATAAAGACTAAATGTGTATATGTAAGATCTATATCCCCTATTCCATTCTTCTGCAACTTAAAACAAGTGTCAGTTATATACCAAGGTTTTGGTTAGAATATTTTTAACTTCCCTGCCAGCCATGTGGCTTAGTTGGAGCGTGGAGAGCTACGGCATGTGTGAAGGGCAGCCAAGCATTTATTTGCTCTCCTGATGCTCAGCACAAGGAGACAATCTGACTACAAAGATTTGCATCCCCGGAAGATTCTTGCTAGGCACTATGACATCCCCAAACTTCATTTTCTGTTTTTTTACAATTCTGAGGCCATGAGAGGCAATAGATCAATTAGAATGTAAACTCCTGAAGGCAAGGAGGCACTCAACAATCCTCTAACACACAAATGAGTAAATAAACGAACAAATAAATGGACATGTGAGTCCCCCTTTAGGACCAAGCATGGGAATCTATAATACTGCTACAGATGCTCCTAGGCTGATGTTTTGAGTCACTCAGGTCACCAGATGGCTGTGACTTCCCAAGGTTACAGGCCCATAGCTATCACCCCCAGGCTGCCTTGCCTGGAGGCAAAGGTACAGCCCTCAGGCAGACCGTCTTTGGGAAGGTTGCTGATGACTGCCTAGAACATCCCATTTTATGACCCAGCAACAGACATTTTAGAACTACTGAGAGGCAGTGAAGATGGCACGTTCATAAGATGATGTGCTTTCCTGCTCTGCGTGGTGTTTGAGTGCATTCTGTGTGTGAGTGAATCTGCAGGCGACTCAGACAGGGACTATGGACTGGCTACTTTTGCTTTCTGCTTAAAGGTAGTTTTGCTCTTTTGGAGAACAAATGCACCCATCAAGGCTTCAAGGCAGGGACCATGACAACTCACACAACTAACATCGGGTTCTTTGCAGAACATGGCCTGGCACAGGGTTACTGCTCAGTAAATGCTTTCTGATAATGATATCACATTTTAGTTAAAGAATAATCAGACACAGGCATGGCCTTACAAATACACATAGAGTTATTTCCATTGCCCCTGAGAAACCACTCGGGAGTATTTCAGGTTATGTGGAAAGCCCTTACTTGGATGATTTCAGGCCTCGAATGAATTTAAAAATCCCTGGGTGCAAGCTGTGTACCTGAGGTGGGAACCGTATCGGACGGGTCCTTGTCAGGACATCTGATTTCTGTTCCTTCTCTTACCTGAAATGAGACACACAGGGAAATAAGGAAAATGGATTTTGCTAAATTGGAAATGGGTAAGTGGGGCCTCTATTTTGGAAAACATCATTTAAGATAAAGTAAAACTTTGATGTCTTTTAAGATTTCTCCCTCTCCTTCAACACTCATATCCAATTGTCCACATCTTTTCCAAGTGCTCCCAAATCTGTTCCCTCTGCTCCAGTGCCTCTGCCTCCACCTAAGTTCAGGCCTTTGTTATTTCTTGCCAGGATATTGCAATGATTCACCAGTATCATGGCCATCTGTCCCACAGACTTGCTCCTCACCCTCTGAATCTATCCAGAGTGGTTGTTCTCAATGTGATATGATGTGTCACTCCTCTGCCCAAGTTCTCAGTGAAGGCAGGGATTTTTATCTGTGTTGTTGATTATTGTGTCCCCAGAGCCTAGAACAGTGCCTGGCATAGTGGATGCTCAACAAATATTTGTTAGTTGAACAAATACACTACTACTCTGTATTAACTTCAAAAAAAAGTCCAATCTCCCTAGCATGGCCTAAGAGGCCACTAAACATTCTAAACCACCAGCCCTTGACCTAAGTCTCCATATTTCCCTGCATCCATGCCTTTGCCCAAGTAGTTACCCTCTCCCCTTTCCCTTTCCTTCCTTCTATTTGCTCACCCTCCCATCGATCTGCCTCAGCCTTAGTCACCCTTCAAGACTGAGGTCATGGGCATCCTTTGGAAAGCCTTCTTCAACTTTCTCCTGTCTGGGTTAGTTTCTCTTCCTCTGTGTTCCCAGAATACCCCATGAAAACACGCATTACCGTACCTATTATAGTACCATTGTGCTATAATTGCCTGTTGACTCGTCCATTTCTCTACCAGACTGAGTTCCTTGGGACAAGTCCTATTTTTTATTTACATTTTAATCTCTCATACCTGGTATCCATCCATCCACCTATCCATCCATTTTTTCATTCAACAAATAGTTATTGGTGCCTACCCTGAGCTCCTGCCTCACTGAGCTTGCATTCTAGTGGTATATAGCAGATAGTTAATAAATGTGTCCTGAAGAATTGTATCACTGCTTTTATCCAATGATAATGATAGCAATACTTACATAGAACTCATGTATGTTAGATTCTATTATAAGTGCTTTATACTTACTGACTTATGACAATTTATTAATAATTCCACAAGGTAGAGCTATTACTGTCATTATTTTCCAGGTTAAAAAACTAAGGCACAGACAGGTTAAGTATCTTGCTCATTGACACACAGCCCATAAGTGGAAGAGTCTGGATTTGAACCGAGAGCTGGTTACTTTACCTCATTGTGCCATGCTGCGTCTCAGGTTTACCCTCATTGCTATACTGGTTAGTATGAGTCAAGTTGAGAAATCGAGTCTCTCACACTGTGTCCCTCAGGGTAGAAGCCCAGGCCATCAACTCTGCCTCCACTATTTGGAGTAAATCTCACCCTTTTCCATAAAATAGGGAGGGAAGGATGTCACTAGGACCAAATTTGTCTCAGCCCACCTCAGTCCCCCCTTCTCTGGGAAAGAAGACATCAACCCTTGAGTGTTCCTTGCTTTCCCAGAGGAGTGCAGGGTGCCCTGTCTAGTCTCCACGGGAAGTCTCATGGGGAGACTCCTGAGAAAAGCAGTGATCAAGGCATGAGTGCCTGTCAGGGGCCCCCTACCAATGTGGACCCACTCAAGGGCTTTGGAGTTCCACACTGTCTGGGTTCAGACCTCACCATGTATCTCTGCTCTTTCTTAATTTTCTCTTCAGATGAAGTTCTCAGATGATTTCAGAAGAATTTTTCAGAGATTTGGGAAGGGTCAGAAGAATCTGTCTTACATCACAACAGATTGGGAACAGGAGGTGCTGGGCAGTACACACTCTCTGTAAAACCCCCATGCTGGTTGCGGAGGCAGCTCTGAAGATAAACGGTGGGGGAGACCTGCTTCTAGGCACCCAGGGGACGGCCACATGCTGGATCCTTCTCCCTCCTCCAACCTGTCCTGACTGAACATCAGCGGTCTACGGCAGCCCTCCATATGCCTAGAGGCAGCGGGAGTTTCCCGACGTTAAGAACCACATGGAATGGCTGGGTATAGTGGCTCACATCTGTAATCTCAGCACTTTGGGAGGTTGAGGTGGGTGGATCATGAGGTCAGGAGTTCGAGACCAGCCTGGCCAACATGGTGAAACCCCATCTCTGCTAAAAATACAAAAAATTAGCCAAGTGTGGTGGCGCGCGCCTATAATCCTGGCCACGCAGGAGGCTGAGGCAGGAGAATCGCTTGAACCCAGGAGGCTAAGGTTGCAGTGAGCTGAGATCACACCATTGCACTCCAGCCTGGGTGACACAGCAAGACTCTGTCCCCTCCTACCCGCCAAAAAAAAAAAAAAAAAAAAATTGTATTGAGGTTGCAAATCTGGCCAGTTGATCTGCTTCAAAAAAATCCAGGCCGGGTGCAGTGCTCGCATCTGTAATCTCAGCACTTTGGGAGGCTGAGGCAGGCAGATTGCTTGAGGTCAGGATTTCAAGATCAGCCTGGCTAACACGGCAAAACCCCATTTCTACTAAAAAAATACAAAAATTAGCCAGGCGTGGTGGTGCGCACCTGTAGCCCCAGCTACTCAGGAGACTGAGGCAGGAGAACTGCTTGAACCCAGGAGGTGGAGGTTGCATTGAGCCGAGATGGCGCCACCGAACCCCAGCCTGGGCAACAGAGCAGGACTCCATCTCAAAAGACAGAGAAAAAAAAGAACCACGTGGAAGGTTCCAAAGATTCAGCAAGGAGTGCAGCCCCTGATTCATTTGCATGTTTGTCAATTACAAAAACCCTTTCCTTACCTCAAGCTTGTCTCGGGGTTTCTGCAGTCTGGTCAGGTAGTTGCTGTTCCTGTAGCTGAACAGATAGGGGCTCTCCTGCAGGGAAAGGTGACATTGGAATTGCGACCCAGAAGTCTGTATCCCTTAATTATCAGGCTTGAGCATCCAGTGATGCTTTTGGCCAACTGGGAACATTGACATCATGTTTCCAATGAGGACCAAACCATTCTCTGGCTCTTCTCTCTGGTCCCTGAAGGACTCATGAATGCGCTGACATTTCCCATTTGTGACAGCCAGTCTCTTTTGCTCTTTACCCTGGGGGTTCATGCTACCAGGCTAAGTACATATATTTTGATGAGAAGGGAATCTAATTTTAAGCTTCTTGGCAGCCAAAGCAAAAAGGGAAACAAAGTGAATGGTATACTTCTTATTGCATAGTAACAAAAAACTTACCAATTTATCAAGAAAGCCAAATACCTGACTAGCATTTAATGATAGACTAAAAATACAAAAAAATTAGCCGGGCGTGGTGGCACGTGCCTATAGTCCCAGCTACTTGGGAGGCTGAGGCAGGAGAATCGCTTGAACCCGGGAGGCGGAGGTTGCAGTGAGCCGAGATTGTGCCACTGCACTCCAGCCTGGCAACAGGGCGAGACTCCATCTCAAAAAAAAAAAAAAAAATCTCATTCATTTATGTCCAGTTATTTGGTCATCCACTTATTTGGAAACATTAATTATACGCCTACTACATACTAGACACATATTTAAGATGTAGTCAAAATGATCTGCCTTTCAGGCACCTAGATACTCACCATCCCTCCCTTCTTTGCCACTCTGAGGTAGAGGAAGGTCTGGAAACGGCATCTGAGGCAGAGGGCCAGGACCCAGAGGAGATACGTGGGGGCAGCATTTGGGGCCAGGTGAGCTGTGGCCTTGTTCCTATGCCTTCCACAGGCATGGAGGGGGCTGCTGTTTTGCTGAAACAGCTCTCGTGGCCCACAGCTGTAAACATCAGGCCTGCTATGTATGCAAAACTGTGTGCAGGCCCCAGAAGAGCAGAGCCAGGACTCTTATCTCAGGTAAGACCCACGTCACAGCAAAGCCCACTTGGCCACCCACCCTGCGCCCTCAATTCAATAAGAGTCCCTCCCCTGCCCAGTCCCTCCTACCTGAGAGGGACACTTCATTGGCCTCCTGTGTTTTGCACTCAGTGGCTCATCTTTCTCTCCTGCTGGCTCCATCTAGAAAGGAACGTGGGCTTTAGAACAGGGAAGTTTTGTGCAGGTAGCAGCCTGCCAAGCCACCAGTGAGAAAGACTTATTAGTCCAGCAGCAGCACCAGGGAACGCATTAGAAATGCACGTGTCCAGACCCCAGCCCCAACCGACTGAGTCTGAGACTCCGGGGCTGGGGCAGCAGTCTGCCCCTGGGGCAGCTCTCCAGGTGATTCTGATGCACACCCGAGTTTGAGAACCACAGAATGAGAGGAAGCTTTTGTTTTATACATATATATTGAAGGGACTTCCTAGTCTACCTCTCCTAGAAGGAGAAGCTGCACAACAGAGGTTGAGGTGGGTCCCAGCCAGCCAGGGCAGAGCTGGGACTCCAACACTGGTATCCTGAATCCATCCAAACATCTCGCGATGGGTCACGCAGCTTTCTGATCACGCGGGGGCCGGTTATCCAGCTTGGCTTCTTGTCCCCTCCTTGCTGCCCAGCTACTTTCTGGCTCACGGATTCAAGTTCCCTTAGAGAGGAGAGCCGGTATGGGAAGGAAGGGCAAATGCATTGCTTTTGCATAAAGCATGTCTTCTTTCCCAAGTCCTGCCCGCAGCCTGTGTCCACAACCCAAACGTAGGTAAATCTGCGCACAGTAGAGAATGGAAACCCTCCGTTCCCTGAGAACTGCTTCCACCGTTCTGAGTGAAGCAAGTTATGGGGCCTGGGTCAAGTCTCATGTCTTTCACGGGGTCACAAATACAGTGACATGGAACACAGCACAGCCAGCGCTCACAAACCGCTAGAGTATCTAGTGAGCCAGGAGCGGGTGGTGTGGTATCCACTCTGAAATAGGCAGCTACTTAAATGACAACCACAAAGGCCATCCAATGACATCTAATAACACAGATAAAATATTTATGGTATAACAGCAGGAGAAACCAGCAGATTATCAACTTAGTAAAAGCATTAGACATAGGGAAGTGAAGGCCGTTGAAGAATTAGAGAAGGGAGGGATTTTTGTTTTTTAAGTTTTTTTGTTATTTTAAAATGTTCATTATACATACATAAACACTTAAAAAGAAAAGGCTTGGAGGGATTGCAGATTTTCTTCTGCACGTGCTATTTCCTACTGTTTGAGAACCTGTTTTCCTGTCCTCTGGCTGCCCACAGCTGCTGGGCTCTGCTGGTACCTCTGGCCCTCACCTCCCCTTCCAATGACTCTGCCAAGGGACGTGGGAAGCTAGTGGATGGGGCAGCCTGTCTGGCTCGGTTGAGGATTTCAGATTCCTCAGCGGTATCTTACCCCAGCATCTGTGCCCCAGTAAACAAGAAACAAGAAAAGAATTTTACCCTTAGTGGAATTGGCTCTTCAGCCAGACTGAAGGAGAATCAGATAAGAAGGTATTATTAGCTGAACATTTGGAAAAGGAGTGGCAACTCTCTAACTCACGGCCTAGGGGAGGAAATAGACTCCATGCTTCTTTCTGTTTCATTCTGATGGTGGCCGCTCCTAGAAACAAGGTCCCACCTGGAACATTCAAGGCGGCTGTCGAAGGAAGTACTGAGCAGGCCTGGGTGAGGGCCAGGTGTTGATCTGTCTTGCCACCTTCTCTTCCCCATTTTTTTTTTCTTTCTTTTTTGAGACAGGGTCTCACTCTCATTGCTCAGACTGGAGTGCAGTGGTGTGATCACAGTTCATTGCAGCCTCGACTTCCCGGGTTCTGGTGATTCTCCCACCTCAGCTTCCTGAATAGCTGGGACTATAGGCGTGTGCCACCATGCCCAGCTAATTTCTCATATTGTAGTAGAGGCAGGGTTTTGTCACGTTGCACAGGCTGGTCTCAAACTCCTGGGCTTAAACATTCCTCCTGCCTCGGACTCCCAAAGTGCTGGGACTACAAGCATGAGCCACCACGCCCACCTTTCCCCCATCTTCCAAGAATTTAATCCATAATGGAATCTGGAAAGAAACCTTGAAAGAGCCGTATCTAAATGATTCTGATAAAGTGGATACAGCAGAGACTATTTTTTTTTAAAGGGCCTCAAAGAAGGAAAATTCATAGGTTTTCCCAAGAAGCCCATTTCTGTTGAGAACTTTGTCCTAAATCTCTCTTTAGGAGTCTCCTCCATCCTCCTTGCTTCCATTCATTCCCTTTACACTGACTCTGACCCTTTCTTCTCCTGCATCCCCAGAGAGGATGGAAACGACACAGTTACTTCAAATAATTTCTTGTATGTGCCTCTTTCTCCTGCCACGCTGTGAGGCCCATAAACGCACGTGCGCTGCTATCTACTCCAGGGACAACCGGGGCCGGTCTGGGCTTCCACTCCACTCTGCACACCTCGCCAGCATGGCTTCCCTGCCACCGAGGAATGAACTGCAGTGTCGGAGGGGTGAGGGCAATGACCTTGAAAATCCCCTCCGAGCAGCAGAATCCTCCCTGGGCTGTGAGCGATCCCCACGTTCCTTATTCTGCCCATGGCTTGGGCCCCTGGTGTTGACTTGGCATAAGGTGGGGTCAGTGACTGCGGAAAGGGCCAGAGACATCAGTTCCCTAAAGGTGGGTCCCTTCAAAACGACCGATGTACAAGAATTACCAGAAATTATTGAGGCAGCAGCAGAAAGGGCCTAGGGAACGAACCGTGTCCCAGACACAAAATCCTCCTCGGCTTGGCATCGGTACAAGCTTCAGCCTGGAGGCCTCACTCAGCCAGGACGTTCCAGGCACATTTAGATGGGGCTGCTGCCACCTCCCATGCTGGTGTGTGGAACTTTTCCTTTGCTGGTCCTCAAAGCTCACCTATGCTAGGGCTTGGAGGATGAGGGAGGGAGGGAGGATGCTGACGTGCTGATGTGGCTTTGTAGGCTGCAGAGCTGAGAGCTCCTCTCCTTCCCCACAGTTGTGTCCAGGGGTGGTTGAGGACAGAGTGGTGGACCTGGACTCCCTGTGATCATGGGATTCTGCCGGTCCCTCTCTGCTCCCCACACAGAGGGCAGCCCTCACCTGGACTGTGTGTGTCTGCGAGGGTGGACACAGAACAGGCACACCTGCTTTCCACCTCGGTGTCCCAGTCCAGCCCAGCAAAGAATCATAGATGTGGTGGCAGAGACTCCTGCCCTCCCTGCACCTGGAGGTGGCCATTAGTGAAACCAAGGGTAGGAGGAGCCCAGGGCCCTCCTGTATCTTCACAAGCCCTCAGGTGCTGGCTAAGGGTGTTTAGACCTTTTTGGCAGGTAGAGAAAATGGACACCCCGAAAGACCATGTGACTTGCCTCAAGAAACCACCGAAAGTGGGACTGAAACCAGAGCCCAGGTTTTCTGGCTCCCGTCCAGGGCCCTTTGCTCTAACCTGTGACACTCGTTGCTTCTCATGGCTGAATTTGGGTCTGCAGGAGCTTCTGTTGTGTTCCAGCAGCTGTGCGGGACCTGGGAACTGTGGGATGGTCTGGCATTTTACTTGTGAGGAAACTAGGGACTGGGGATGCTTGGGGGAACCCCCTCTTATCCTGTCTCTCCCCACTCCCCATGTCCCTGCTGGCTGAGGCCGCAGGAACCTCTGGTTTGCACTGGGAAACTGGACTTGTCGTATGGGTGTGGAGAGAGGGAGGTCACTGCTTACCCAGGAAAGCCACATCCTCCTCCTCTTCTAAGCCTTTGTGACACTCTCTGTGTCACAGGCCTTTGGCCTTGAGGGTGAGACCTTCCATTCCTGTGTACGTGCTCATCCTGACCCTCAAGTAGTTTTAAGAGACCGTACGTGGGGTGTACCTTATTTGTATGCACGGGACCATCACCCAGCAGCTCTGTAAAGGTGGTTATGATTGCTATGGCCACCAACATCAAGGACAAATAGCATGATGAAGGGAGAAAGCGATAGGAATCCAGCCCCTCCCTGGACCTGCCCTCTCCAGCTTCTCTGTCTGGTGCTCAAGGGCTCCGTTCATGCTCGGAGCCTTATTATCTCCGTATCTCTTCTCTTATCAGACAGGCCTCTTCCTGCCCTTGCTGCTGCATCTGACGCATTCTTCTCTCCATGCCCTTTGCTCACAAAGGTCCCTTTGCCTGGGAACGCCCTCCCTGACCTCCTCCAACACATTTCACAAAGCCCATTCAAATTGCCTCTTCATGGGCTCTCCTGGCCTCATCCTTCACACTGCTTCCTGGTGCATGGCCCAGCACATCACTGCTGGCTAAGTCCCTGTTGACTCTTGTTCCTCTGGGCTGTCGGGCCCTTCCCAGCTACACCTGAAGCCTGGTGAGGACAGAAGCCACATTTGGTGGGTCTCTTGTGTCCTTCTTGGAACCATGGAGGGTACAAGGGCAGGGTACAAGGTGGTATGGCACCTCCAAGGGCAGGCCATGTCACAGGTGTCCTTTTGTTGGTTGGGAGAAAGATGGCAGGAGGGGAGAGGTTTGGCTGAGGTGGAATCATCAGCCCTGCTCTCCCTGAGAGAGGGCTTGGGAGAGCAGTCCCTGCTGGAGGGGCCAGATTCCTCTTCTCTGCCCATCATGGGAGATCAGCAGCAAAGTGGATTTCTGGGGACATATTCCCTGCAAGTGCCAGGCACACTGACAAACGTCCCTGTTCAGAGAACTCAAATGCCTTCTTCAAAGGACAGCATGTTTCCAGTGTCTGGGACTGTCGGAGGCTGTGCCCCTTCCCTCCCTGCACTCTGTTTCACACTGGCTCACGTGTGCTGAAATGCAGCTGTCCCTGGTACTCAACACACTATGTCAGTTGTAGAGATGGATCCACAAAAAAAGAACAATGAATTTCTGTCACTAGAATTCTAAAAATAAGGCAGCTTGGGTGAGAAGAAAATAAATGGCAAAATCAGGTCTCCGTCTGATGCCCTGAAAAGGTTCAAAGCCTTGACGTCACATTCCATCCCCTGACTAATCCCAGATATCCCTGGAGGGGGCCTTTGGAATCTGGGGAAATCCTGTTACAGTTACAGTAAAAAGGCCAACCCATGTGGAGTGCTTACTACAGGCCAGGAGCGAGCTGCGCGCTAGACATGTCGGGCCAGGGACTGACCTGGATTTTGCAGAACGAGCATTGAGACCTGAGTTCACAGAGCTTGCGAGTGGTGGGCTTAGCATTCCAACCCAGGCCTTCATCACACTGAAGTCCATGCTTGTCCCAGGCACCACCCTGGGCCTTGACAACTGCACAACACTAAGTGCGAGGGCAGGCTGAACAGCAATGGTGAGGGGAGCACACTCCCCAGTGTTAGACTCAAGCAGGTCTTCCACACAGACCCTGAGAAACGGCCCCGCCTCTGGGAAAGCAGGGCTGAGGCTCCGGTGAGACCCCTGCTGCTCCCTGGCCTGGCTGCAGCCCAGTATGTGTGGCAAGGCAAACTCTCAGTCAGTCAGAGAGGGGCGTCACCAGGAGAGAGAAGCATCCCTGGTGGCCCAGAACCATTGTCCTGGGATCCTGGGGCGCCCTGGGGCCCCTCCTCAGCACGGTGGGCTCAGTGGTGGTGGAGACCCTGCCCCTCCTCTGTGGGTCCCACCCCAGGCCCATCTACTCACCATCCTATTCCAGAGATGCCAGGCCAGTGTGGTAGAATCCTGGAGTGGGGGGTCCTCCTGAAAGAGAACCAATTGACAGCGGGACCTTGTGCCTCCCCAGGAATGCAGCGGACCTGCTGCACACTTTGAAGCTCTCTCTGGTGTAGAGTTGGGGTGGCCTGATCTGTCCAGGCCCTTTCTCTCAGCCCCTCCTCTCATCAATAACAGGGGCACTTATGGGACCACTGACGGGGGTCAGGGCTCTGAGGTCAGGGCCTGCAGGAGCAGGTGGCACGTCAGGCAGCTCCATGTCATCATGGGGTTCTCTGTCACTGAACCAAACAGTGGAAGGAGGGGGTGGCAGGCAAATGATTCAAGTGTGATCTGAGTAGGAGGATGAAGGAAGGGAATGTGAGCTAGTATTTCTCCTCATCCTCTTAAACCATCACTTTAAACACTGTTTATGGCATGGAGATGGCATAAGGATTCCAACAGGCAGGAGCCAGAAGCCTGGAGGAAGGGACTGTCCCCAGACACAGGACTGAGGCCCCAGAGGCTGCAGAGACCTCGGTCAGCAAGTGTGGACCACGTGCCACATGGTCTGGGTGGCCCCTTGCCCAGAGATCTGGGGGAGGGGGTAAGGGCAACTCAGATTCCCCTCCCTTCCAGAGATGGATGGAGAGGAGCGTGCAGCAAGAGGGACAAGAGCTGGCATCCCTGGAGATTCTCTTTGGAATAACCACGATGGCCAAGAGGTATGAGTGCTTCCCCAGCACCAGACGCCACGCTGCGTCCCCCCAAGTATTAACTCATGTGGCCCTGATGGCCACCGAGAGGGAGGACATGTTACTAAACAGCCCTGATTTTACAGAACAGAGTTCAATACCTTGTCTAAGGTCACACAGCCGGCCACCCCAGAGCCAGGAGGGGAAGCTAGGCCATTCACCCTGGGCTACCCTGGGCTGCCCTGCCTCTAATAGCCTGTCTCATGTGGGCTGTTCAACCCTGTGAGGAAATTGTACAGGAAAGTATGAGAGAATATGGGGGTATTTCCCCTAAGACTATGCATCCTGGGTTCAGGAAAGCTGAACTGGGCTGAGGCTTGTTGGGTAAGGGTGGGAGAGGGGGCAGGAACAGATGTATGGCCCAGGCCTTCTCCCCACCACACTCTTCACAGTTTTTTTTTTTTTTAGACTGAGTCTCGTTCTGTCGCCCAGGCTGGAATGTAGTGGCATGATCTCGGCTCACTGCAAACTCCACCTCTCGGGTTCAAGCGATTCTCCTGCCTCAGCCTCCCGAGTAGCTGGGATTACAGGCGCCCGCCATGGCGTCCGCCACCACGCCCGGCTAATTATTGTTTTGTTTTGTTTTGTTTTTTTAGTAGAGAGGGGGTTTTTTGTATTTTTAGTAGAGACGGGGTTTCACCACGTTGGCCAGGTTGCTCTCGAACTCCCGACCTCAGGTGATCCACCCACCTCGGCCTCCCAAAGTGCTGGGATTACAGAAGTGAGCCACCACGCCTGGCTCCAACCACCCTCTCGATACGCCATGCAGCCCCCACTTACCGAGGGTAGAGACGGGGTGGTTTCATAGAAGAAAGGCTGGAAAACCACCGTGAAGGACTCCTGCTCACTGTACCTGCTGGAGGCCAGGAGGCTGTTCCAGGCTTCCTGGAGAAGGGAGCAGAGAGGTGACCATCCAGGAACATGAGCAAAGCAGAGCCAGCCCCAGATCATTCTCAGCAGAGCTGGGACAGAATCTGCCCCTCGCGTTGTTCTCAAGTGCTATTCTGAAGCTCCCTCTTGTCTCACCCTTCAGGGCTCTTTGATAGCTAAGCTGAGTTTTCATTTGTCTCTGAAGTGCCAGCATTAGGTAATACCAGAGACAGACCTGAAATATATTCTCTGGAAGCTTAGGAATGACAAGACAGCCCAGCGTATGGTGGGGCCCCCTGCTCTCTTCAAGAGCTAAGTTTGGTAGAGGCAGGGGCCTTAACCACTCAAAACATGTTGTCATTTCCAGAGCGAGAGAGGTGCCATGCAACTTCAAATAAAAATTCATCATGTTAACACATGCTAACAGAAACTGTGCTTTGTGCTGTTTGCTAAGAGGGATGATGGCCTTCATTAAGCCCTTCACCCTTATTTATTTATTTGACAGAGTCTCGCTCTCTTGCCCAGGCTGCAGTGCAGTGGTGCGATCTCGGCTCACTGCAACCTCCACCTCCCAAGCTCAAGTGACTTCTCTTGCCTCAGCCTCCCGAGTAGCTGAGACTATAGGCGCATGCTACCATGCCTAGCTAATGTTTGTATTTTTAGTAGAGACGAGGGTTCACCATGTTGCCCAGGCTGCTCTTGAACTCCTGACCTCAAGTGATCTGCCCGCCTCAGCCTCCCACAGTGCTGGGATTACAGGTGTGAGCCACCACGCCCAACCCCTTCACCCTCTCTTGAGGTCTCTTCTGTGAACTGGAATGTGCATCTTCAGGAGCCCTGGTTTGCCTTTGGGCTGTAGGCTGGGGACAGGCACACTGGGCAGAACCAGTTCACCTGCTCCAGATGTGGTACTACAAGTGGCACTGATGACCAAAAGCATTCCAGAATGAATCTTTGAAGTTCCTCACTACTTTTTGCCTAAAGTGCCCCCACTGTCCCCCTACTCGCACCCCTACCAGTACTGTAGCCCCCATTTTACACGCAGGAATCCCGAAATCACCACCACAACGTGAAGCAAGAGCAGCTCTCTTTGCTCCTTAGTCCTGAATTCAGCTGGAGACGTCCTAACATGAGCAAACTCAACTAAATGTCCCGTTCTCCTTGGCGACCACTCCACCCCTGTGAGCCAGCAGCCCGGGCTCCCAGGGTGGGCTCACCTGATAAGACCACTGCATCACCACCTTGGCCAGCCTGGAGGTCTCCTCTGAGCAGTTGCAGGGCTCTGGCGCAGGGCTGCAGGTTGAAACACACCAGGAATGAGAGAGGGGAGGCAGTGTGGGGGAAGGGGGTGCATCCAGGCTGCCTGTTATGGAAGAAGGGGCCTAGGAGTTGCTTAAGGAGTAGGGACGAAGAAGCTTAAGTCTTAGAGGACACAAATGTTGGGAAGAACAGAGGGTGGGTGGTCCCTTCCTGGGGGGTGGGTATGGGATGGAGGGAAGCTCTCCCTGGGGGGTGGGTATGGATTTGGGGGTGGGTATGGGATGGAGGGAAGCTCTTCCTGGGGGGTGGGTATGGGTTAGGGGGTGGCTATGGGATGGAGGGAATCTCCCTGGGGGATGGGTATGAGTTGGGGGTGGCTATGGGACGGAGGGAAGCTCTCCCTGGGGGGTAGGTATGGGATGGAGGGAATCTCCCTGGGGGGTAGGTATGGGATGGAGGGAAGCTCTCTGGGGGGTGGGTATGGGTTAGGAGGTAGGTATGGGATGGAGGGAAGCTCTCCCTGGGAGGTAGGTATAGGATGGAGGGAATCTCCCTGGGGGGTGGCTATGGGATGGAGGGAATCTCCCTGGGGGTAAGGTATGGGTTGGGGGGTGGGTATGGGATGAAGGGAAGCTCTTCCTGGGGGGTGGGTATGGGTTAGGGGGTGGCTATGGGATGGAGGGAATCTCCCTGGGGGGTGGGTATGGATTTGGGGGTGGGTATGGGATAGAGGGAAGCTCTCCCTGGGAGGTGGCTATGGGATAGAGGGAAGCTTTTCCTGGGGGGTGGATATGGGATGGAGAAAAGCTCTTCCTAGTGGATAAGTATGGGATAGAGGGAAGCTTTTTCTCCCTCTTCATCTCTTAGTCTTCCTCCTCCCCCTTCATTGCTCTTCACACCAGACACCCACATCCCATTCTCCTTTCCCTCCCCTGTACCTTCTCTGTCTTGTGTCCTCTTCAGAGCCCTCCTTTTCCTCGGTACCCCCTTCTCTCCTTTCCAGCACCCTTTTCTCCGCCACCCTTGCCCTGACTTTTTCTACACGAACTTCTTTTCTAGGTCCAGAGCCAAAATTTTTAGGATTTGGCTCCAAAAAGTTTAAAGTCTATGAACATTTTCAGAAATATATAGGAATCAAGTTCTGTGAAGTTAAACTACATTTAGGCTACGTTTTTCTATCCAATTTCCAGAAGTAACACTTCTTAGCTTATGAATGTTTTGCCAAGGCGAACTCTCAAATCACTCTGGCACGGAGGAGAGCCTCTGGCACGACATCAACCAGACCGAGTGTTTTATTCTTTGACTCAGTCCCCAAAACAATGCTTGGCAGGGGGCCCGCCCCGCCCCGACTCTGCCACTCGCTCGGGTGTCAGCTTGCACGTGTTTCTCAGCCTCCCTTAGCCTCTGTTCTTTAGGGTCCCTCATAGATTAAGGCACATGAAGGGCCCCCACAGGACGCACACGTGACAGCCATGTCACAGATGCACGTCTCATTCCCCTTCCCCTTTTACCTGAGCCAAGTGCCCTGATACCGACGAGAGACCTCTGCAACCTCAGAGAGGTCCACCAGGTTTACAAACGCTCTGGGGACCTAGGAGGACACAGAGAGAGGAACGTGAGTATTTGCCAAGTCGCCATGACTGCTGGGCTTTCTGGAACTCCTGCTTGGGCCCCGTCTGGGGTGTGGCTGAGTGTGATGGGCCTCCCCTTGATTAACTTGGCATGATCCTTTGGGAGATGTTTGGTCGGGGTCAGTCCGCGCTGCCAGCCCTCCATCTGTGCCATCCAGAAACAGGACTCTCTGTCCCTCACGGTGGGTGGGGAGTCTCCCACCAGTGTCCACGGGGCAGGAGACCACTGGGGCTATGGGCCTGCAGCCTCCTCCAGCGGAAAGCTGCCCTCCAGGGGAGCAAAGTGGAAGGCAGAGCCACAGCAACCCCCAGCCGATTCTCAGACCCTGCAGCAGCGTCACGGTCACTGAGCAGAAAGGTCTTGAAGGTCCTCAGGCCCATCCATCTCGTCCTTGCCCCAGACTCAGCTAGAGAGTGGCCTTAGGGCAGAGCAGGGCCACCGAGGACTCAAGGAAGAGTTGAGTTTCTCTCAGAAGTTTCCTTTGCAGGAGCGGAGTGCGCTCTCCTGGCCCATGTTCTCATTTGAAAGGATGAGAAGATGGGGTCCTCTAAAGTTTCCCCTTTCCCAAGGGTCCCAGTCTCCCTCACAGGGGTCCATTTCCCCACCCTGGTGGAGGCCATATGAGGGTAAACGGGCCCCACCGCCCTCAGGGGAGCCCTGGGCCCAAGGCCTCACCTCCTGCCGCAGGTAGTCCAGCACCCCCATCAGCTCGTCCATGCCGCCCGCCGCAAGCCCATTCTGTGAGAGGAGAACCATGCTGAGTGAGGGTGCCTGCAGGAGGACCACGAGGTGAGGCCACCCAGACTCACGACAGGCCCATCCCTGCCAGGCAAGACCACGGGCAAAGGTCCCATCTAGACCTGGCATTCCACAAACAAAGATAGAGTTCCCAGAGCTTCCTAGTTTTGTCTTCCTTTTGTCATCCGTTTTCTCCCCAACCCATCATCCACCATGGAAAACCGAACTCCCCCTAGCTGACAAGTTCCACCAGGAAAGGGCAGACTCAAAGTCAGAGCAAGATCAGAAATACCTGGTGTGATTCTGAAGCTCACACTGAGGGACGGGAGACTTACTCCCAAAGACTTGAGGAATCGCTTTTTCCCGAAGAAAATCAGGTCCAACAGGGAAATACAATTAACCCTGTATTTAAGGCCCCAGAGGGGCCTCGGAACCTTTACGTGATCCTATTTTATCAGCCTTTCTCTTGCCGTGCTTGCTCTAAGATAAGGGTTCCTAGAGAAAGAGTTAAAGACATCTCTCACCCACCCAACACACACACCACTCCCCTTCCTGCAGGTAATGAAAATCAGCAAATGAAGGACCTCAAAAATGGACCTGCTTTATCATTTTTTTTTTTTTTTTTGAGATGGAGTCTTGCTCTTTTGCCGAGGTTGGAGTGCAGTGGTGTGATCTCGGCTCAGTGCAACCTCCACCTCCTGAGTAGCTGGGATTACAGGCGCCCACCACCATGCCCAGCTAATTTTTGTATTTTTAGTAGAGACAGGGTTTCACCACGTTGGCCAGGCTGGTCTCAAACTTCTGATCTCAAACGATTCATCTACCTCAGCCTCCCAAAGCGCTGGGATTACAGGCTGGGTACAGTGGCTCACACCTGCTTTACCTTTTCAATGTGAAAAATAATAAAAATCACAAGACAAACTCCTAGCTGCCTGCAGACTGGCTGTCCCCTAAGGCAACTTGGCTCAGACAGGAAGACAAGGAAGGCCAAGGAGCTGTTCTGTTTCCCGGAGGGGACACAGGCAGTGACTCTGGAGACAGCTGTCAATCACCCGGGCTGGCACCGCACAGGAGGAAGTGCAGTGTCCTGTCTCTCTGCCCCTTCCCCGGCTGTCTCTGTTTCGGTGTGAGGCTGGCTTCCGGGAGGCCGGTTCAGCAGGTCTGTTACCATAACGCCTTCTGTCTAGTTTTCTCCTAAGTGAGCCACTCCCTGAGCGTGACATCAAACATCACCCTCGCTTTCCTGAAAACCCCGGGGGGAACTGTGTCTAGAGGCACCCTCGCTGCCCATCTGTACCATATCCACTGTCCCTGGAGAGGCGGGGGACCCTGCGTGGCCCTCCCTAGAGTGTGACTCTTGCTGTAGAAACCCCTGGTCAAGGTGTTTGCTCGCAGCTGCAGAGGGAATTGGGGCCCACCCAGTCATTCCAGGCACTGCATGGTTGTCGCTTGGGACACCAGCTGTCCCCGTTTCTCAGTAGAACACATTATGCTCCTATAAGATGTCCCTTCTCTATAAGGTCACACATAATAAATTCCTGGAACCCGAAGTCAGGAAAAAGCCGATTTCTTCAAATGAACTGGTACATTTCCATTTGTATCATTCGCCCCCTGGTTTGGAAGAACGTCTATTATCAAACATGTGCCTGAGACCCAACTTAACTCTTTCTAATAAATTATTTTCTCGGGGTTTATACCAAGGAATGGGATTATTCAGTCAAAAACTAGAAACACGTTTGGGTTTCTTGACTCACACAGCAGTGTACCCTCCAAAAGGCTGCCACCTGTAGTTAGAGACATTTGCAAGGGATAAATGTGTCTGCTTTCTTGTCATCAGCTCTTTTTCCATTTTCCTCTGATTTTTAAAATCTTACTCATGAATAAAGCTAAATTTAACTAGAGAGCAGCAAGCAAGTGTCCAGACACAAAAAGCATCCTCAGGTCACTGCTGTGAGCCAGGTTATCATTCACCTCCGAAGCACCTGCCTTCAGAGCCATTGTCACACCTAATGGGTAATTCCTGACTCGACGCTCTGACTTTGGTCATAAGAAACTCCTGAAGAACAACTGGACACAGGCCCTTATTTATTTCCCATTAAAGGAGCCCAAAGGTCTCTACAGGGGAAGAGAATTCCAGGTCCTAAGTTGGGGCAGGACAGTAGCTCAACATTTCCTCTTAATGGTAAAACATGTTTTTCTTGTGGGAACTTTTAGGAAAACCTTGACACCTGCTCTGTAAGGTCAGGTGGCAGCCAGTGCCCACTTTCTCAGCATTTGCCCACGGAAGGATCTCCAGTGGCCCCTGGGTCTCTACAGAGCATTTTTTTTTTTTTTTTTTTTTTTTAAAGACAGAGTCTCACTCTGTTGCTCAGGCTGGAGTGCAGTGGCATGATCTCAGCTCACTGCAGCCTCCACTTCCTGGGTTCAAGTGATTCTCCTGTCTCAGCCTCCCTAGTAGCTGGGACTACAGGCATGCGCCACCACACCCAGCTAATTTTTGTATTTTTGGTAGAGACAGGGTTTCACCACGTTGGCCAGGCTGGTCTCGAACTCCTAACCTCAAGTGATCCACCTGCCTTGGCCTCCCAAAGTTCTGAGATTACAGGCATGAGCCACTATGCCCGGCCATCTACAGAGCACATTTTCCCAATCACCAAGGGAGAGCTTATACCTGAGATGTGCTTTGAGAAAAATAAAAATGCCACGTAAGAACTTCTCAAACAAAGATGCTGAGCTATACCATAGGATTAGCTTAAACAGGGAGGTGTGGCCAGAAGTACCACTAGGAGGTGAGTGTGGGTCTGGGCTGTGAGAAGGGCAGCACCAGTGGGCCTGGCCAGGAGGCCAAAGGAGCCAGGCCTAGGAGCCATAGGGCCTCTGGGGGAAGTGGAAGTGGAGGTGAGATTTATTCCAGGCATCAAAGCCTTGGTGGTTTTTGTGCGACAGGAAAAATCAAGATGGAAAAAGAAATAGAATAAAGAGGGAATTTGAGTTGATGCTGGCAGGTGTTGCTATAATTAGCTAAATTTATGGACATCAAATTATTGGTTTACAGCTGTTTAAAAATGAGGAGTCATGATTACTTTTGTCACATGTTTTGAACCAATTAAAAGTGTGAGCTGGCCGGGCGCAGTGGCTCACGCCTGTAATCCCAACAGTTTGGGAAGCCGAGGTGGGCGGATCACAAGGTCAGGAGATCGGGACCATTCTGGTTAACACGGTGAAACCCCATCTCTACCAAAAAATACAAAAAAACTAGCCGGGCATGGTGGCGGGCACCTGTAGTCCCAGCTACTCGGGAGGCTGAGGCAGAAGAATGCCGTGAACCTGGCAGGTGGAGATTGCAGTGAGCAGAGATTGTGCCACTGCACTCCAGCCTGGTGACAGAGTAAACTCCATCTCAAAAAAAAAAAAAAAAGGAAAAAAAGTGCTAGCTTCTAAGTGTAAATAAACTCAATTCATATGTAATCAATATGACTAGATCTTGCAGGAATTTCTCATGTTGACAAAAATCATGAAGTCTGAGAACAAGCATTGGGAAGGTTGTAGAGAATAGGCGCTCACTGCCATTAGTGGAAATATGAGAGTTCAGCCACTTTGGAGGGCAATTAGGCAGAGCCTATTAAAATCCAGAATGTGTGCACCTAAAGACTGGCATAGGAATCTATTCCAGGTGCTTTTCTTGAGACTGTTTTTTTCTTGTTTTTTTGTTTTTTTGGTTTTTTTTTGAGATGGAGTCTCTGTCACGCAGGTTGAAGTACAGTGGCACAATCTTGGCTCACTGCCACCTCTGCCTGCCGGGTTCCAGCAATTCTCCTGCCTCAGCCTCCCAAGTAGCTGGGATTACAGGTGCCCACCACCATGGTTGGCTAATTTTTGTATTTTTAGTAGAGACAGGGTTCCACCATATTGGCCAGGCTGGTCTTAAACTCCTAACCTTGTGATCCACCCGCCTCGGCTTCCCAAAGTGCTGGGATTACGGGCGTGAACCACCGCGCCCGGCTCTTGAGATTGTTTTTATCTTGACCCACAGTGTGAGATGCGTTTCACATCCCAATCCAGTACAAGTATCCATATAGAAATGATGCAAAAATCTCATGAACCAATACTTACCTCACTACATGCAATGAACTCAAATATTTTATTCTTTTTTTTTTTACAATGTTGGTTGCAATCCTTTAAACTGATTTTTTGACTCACTAATGTACTTCAGTCCACAAAAATCACTTTATCTAGGAAAACTCTTCCACATAGTCAAGTAAATGAGCAAGACTGTTTATTGCAGCATTGTTCATAATAGTGAAAAACTGGAAATACCTACATTGCCATCAGTATAGGAAAACGGTGAAATAAAATGTAGTAACATTACACAACAAAATACTCATGTAAGAGAGAGAAACTCATTCCATATGTATCAACATGACTAGATTTCAACAATACTTGGTTAGTGAAAAAAATTGTTTTCAGTAGTACACACAATATAACACTATTTATATTAAATCTCTCTCATACATACATGCATGCAAAATAATGCTTAGATTTATAGATATGTAAGAGGTTTGCAAAGAAAAAGAGAGAGAGGATTAGGGAGGTGGCCAAAAGGATATGTATTTTAGCTTTAACTGATGTTTTAGTTTCTAGAAGGAAAATATTTGTGTACTGCTTGCATAACTAAAAATACAAATAAATGTGTAGATGAATACATGTGCACAAGAATACAACATGTATTTGAGAATGCTTGAAGGTATAAATACATGAAAGCATGCAAGAATTTATGTAGGAATGTTTAAACACAAGACAAAGTACATGGAAAATCATCAATGAGTCTAAGTATTCATAAATGGGTTCATACATTAAAAAAATGCTAGCATGAACAAACTAATCACAAATATAATAGCATGTGCCTGTGTGTGAGATGAGAAAATGAATTTATACATGAATATAACTTATGGATGAATGATTCCATTAGTGAATACATGGAAGAATGCAGCAATGTCTAAGTGTTTGAACACTTCAGTGCATGACTGCATAAATGCATGAGTTAATGTCCTGAATTAATGAGTATACAGAAGAATGCACCAATGTCTAAATGCTTGAACATGTCAATGCACGAATGCATACATTCATGAAGTAATGCATAATGATCAAAAAGGGGGGCTGTGCAGAGAACAAACGAGGCATGTAAATTTCACTTGGCACTGTAGAAAACAGAGGGTAAACTAGAACAATAAATCTTCATTATCTATATGCTGGAAACCCAGAAAGGCTGCAGGAATATTGGCCAATGAGAGCTAGTCAGGAAGGTGGATTTCCATCAACATTCTCCCAAGGCTTGACATTACTAAAGGAAGGGGAGTTCTGATGGTGAGCCAGGAGTCAGTGGGAGTGTGGGGCACTTGAAGGAAGGCAAGAGTATCTATTGTAGGAGAGAGGCACAGAAAAGAAAACACCACCTCCAGAAGCTCCACCATGCCTGTGCCCTGGCCTGGAGGGTGGCGAAGAGGACAAGCTGATCCCGTAAGTGGCAGGGCCAGCATGGTAGCAGCCAGGCTTCAGGATCCTGAAGAAGAGTCCAGGTGCCATTTATTTTACCATGGCTTAGATTTCTAAACCACCCCTTACACTTTCAACCGATCCTAATCTGAATGATCTTCAGTAAAGACTTAAGTCATAGATATTCACCTACATAAATAATAAATGAGACCACATGTTTCATGCCCTGTTTCCAGAAAAGCCAAGGCACTTGGAAGATACAGTCTACTTCAATAAACAGCAGCCTTCCCACTACAAATAGAATTCATGGGCCAAGGAGTGAGGATGGTATGCACCCTGCTTTATTTCTTAAATTCAGAACTTACATGAAATCAGAATTAAGAGGCAAGATAGTTTTTAACCAACTAGAACGCTAATTTTCTCAGTTGCGGAATGACTGTTGACTCAACTTATCTATGTCTCTACTTCCTTTTCCTGATATGAGAGATGGTAAGTAAAAAACACCTGTTCCTTGTGACAGTTATGAACGCATGTCATATGTACAACATTATGAATTATCTAATGTCACTAAACTGTACACTTAAAATGATTAAGATGGTCAACTTTATGTGTATTTTATCACAATAAAAAAATTGAAGCAATAAAACTCACAAAACGCCTGTTCAAGCATGTTTCTTTGAGTATCTGTCTGTCTGTCTGCCCATCCATCCATCCATCCATCCATCCATCCATCCATGTTCTAAAATAGGTGGCATTAGCCCCACCCTGATAGCTGGGGATCAGGTAATCAGGCAGGTTTGGTTCACTCCCTCTCCATCCCCAGCATCTGCAATCCCTCAGTCCCCAAGGCTGCCATTTACCTGTTGAGCAGAGGGGCACAGGTAACACTGGCTTGCATTACTGAAGAACACATTGATGAGCTTCCAGTCAAGCTGAAAATCAAGTTGCTGAAGAAAAGGGCAACAGCGTGAAAAGGAGATTGTGGCAAGACCTTGAACCAAAACAATGTCTTTGTTTTCATGTCTTTCCATTTCATACACCCATCCCTGAAAAACCCATGTATGAATTTTTTTTCGATAGTAGTATATGGCAGGAGTTTAAAGTGGTATAACTGCTCTAGGTTAATAAAATATATCCAAAACTTTTTTTTAAATTAAAAGACACACCTTTTGATCTAATTATTTCATTTCCCCAAAGATAGTTTAAGGAAACAAGGATACGTGAATGATTCAGCTACAATGATGAAGCCTTATGCATAAGAAGGAAAAACTGGAAACAACACAAATCTCCCAAACAGGGGATTGCTGTGTAAACTGTGGAACACTCATGAGATGAAACACTATGTAGCTTTTAAAATGATGCTGAAAAATGTAATTATCATGGGAACTAATCTATTGAGAAAAGTAGGTTATAAAAAGTATTTTTGGCTGGGTGCAGTGGTTCATGCCTGTAATCCCAGCACTTTGGGAGGCCGAGGTGGGTGGATCACCTGAGGTTGGGAGTTCAAGACCAGCCTGACCAACATGGAGAAACCCCATCTCTACTAAAAATGCAAAATTAGCCGGGCATGGTAGCACATGCCTGTAATCCCAGCTACTCGGGAGGCTGAGGCAGGACAATCGCTTGAACCTGGGAAGCGGAAGTTGCGGTGAGCCGAGATTGCACCATTGCACTCCAGCCTGGACAACAAGAGCAAAACTCCATCTCGTTTAAAAAAAAAAAAAAAAAAAGCATCTTTATCCAGTAACATCCCTGTTTTATAAAATACATAAAGATATATATGCTAGGAAAAAATATGGAAGGTAATATACACCAAGTTATTAACCATAATTATCTTTGGGTTATTAGGATTAAGGATGGTTTTACTTTTTGCTTATCTGTGTTTTCTGATTTTTTCAGTAATGAACATGCATTTCTTGTGTAACCAGGAAACAAACTGGTTTTTTAAGAGGCAGCATGGTGTAGTTGGGGAACACTGGACTATGAAGCAGGCACTTTAGGTTTTGGCTCTAACTAGCTGTGTGAACTTGCACAGGTCACATTACTTCTGGGAACTTCAGTTCCCACATCTGGAAAATTACAGGGTTAGACGCAGGATCTCTTCTCTATTTTACAGAATAATGATTATTTCAGAAATTCTGGAATTCTCCTGTTTGGGAAAACAAACTTTATGGTGTAGCTCCTGCTCTAGTCCCTGTCCTCATATGCCTTGGAATGACCTTCACTTCACTTCCTGAACTCTTTAATGTATGCATGGCTGGCTGAAACAGTAGCTTCCCTTGGTTCCAGCAGTCCAGGCTCAGTGCTTAGATACAGTTTGCTAGCAAGGCTTGCCTTGGTTTGATACTTGCCCATAAGGGCAGTGCAAAAGATCAAAGGATGCTTATTACAAACTTACATAGGTTATTGAGTAAATAGTTTAAGAACTGTTAGGAGAATGGTACCAAGGCTCCCAGTATGTATGTGACAGAGGCCTCCACCCTAAGAACTAAAATTAATATGGTAATTATTAGTAACAGCAATCACCACTACAATAACAAAGCAAGCTACAGGCTTTTATATTATGTATTGAGTCTGTGCCAGGCACATCCAATATCTCATTTAATGCTCCCAAAACCCTATACTGCAGCTCTTTTATCATCCCATTTCATAAACAGGAAAACTGAGGTTTACGGAGGTAAGTGCCTTACCCAACATCATACAGTTAATAGGCAGAGAATTCAAGACTCAAACTCAAACCAGTCTCACCTGGAACTGAAGCTGGCCACCACCTCCCTTTGGGAGAAGTCATTTAGTCTATCTGTTGACTTTCAGCAGGACCACATGGAAAACCATTCTGAACAGGATTGGTCCTTTTGGCTGAGCATTATGACTCACTCTGTAATCTCAGCACTTTAGGAGGCTGAGGTAGGCAGATTGCTTGAGCCCAGGAGTTTGAGATCAGCCTCGGCAATATGGCAAAACTCTGTCTCTACCAAAACCATAAAAATTAGCCAGTATCATAACTGGTCTCAAAATAAATAAACAAATAGATGAATAAAAATTAACAACGAAAAAGAATTGGTCCTTTCCTTTAATGACCACCAGAGAATGGCAAAGACTTTTTTTTTTTTTTTTTTTTTGAGATGGAGTCTCGCTCTGTCGCCCAGGCTGGAGTGCAGTGGCCCGATCTCAGCTCACTGCAAGCTCCGCCTCCCGGGTTCACGCCATTCTCCTGCCTCAGCCTCCCGAGCAGCTGGGACTACAGGCACCCGCCACCTCGCCCGGCTAGTTTTTTTTTTTGTATTTTTTAGTAGAGACGGGGTTTCACCGGGTTAGCAAGGATGGTCTCGATCTCCTGACCTTGTGATCCGCCCGTCTCAGCCTCCCAAAGTGCTGGGATTACAGGCTTGAGCCACCGCGCCCGGCCGGCAAAGACATTTTTTAAAGAATCCAGGCCACACTAGTTGCTGAGTTCATGGTAAAATGGTACCAGGGCCATTATCACTTTGATCTGCCCGCCTTGCAGCAAACCCAGGCAGCTCAGCCATGCCAGAGTTGGATGGATGCTTACCAGGTTCTCTTTCATGTTTCTCACCAGTTCTTGAGCCTGCATCCACAAGTCTCTGTGCAGAGGGAGGGAAACAGAGAGGAAAATCAGCTAAATGTTATTTTGTCAAGGGCTGGAAGCTTGCCCCTTGCCATAGCTCAGGTGCCAGTCTCTGAGCTTGACCCACCCCTGGCTTCTGAAGAGTGGGCACTGACCTGCTTTTCAAAATGAGGTTCATCAGGCAGACTGAAATCAGCTGGAGGGGGCATTTGGGCTTTGACTTAAATACTTCTATTTTTAAGCCTCTTTGACTTTGCCAGCCCCCCAAATCTTCCCGCCTATATGTTGAGACCAGCAGGAATACATACCCCAGAGAGAGACGGAAAGGGAACTTACTCAGCACCATCGGCACCATCGTGGGGTACCACTGTCTTTCCAGTGTGGCACACGGGCATTGGAACGGAAGGATTGAAATGTCTGATGATGTCTGAAAGGACTAAAGAGAGAACTGGTTTGAGACCCTGGCCTTCACCAGCTGAAGGTCACCTCTAAAGACTGACCTACCTACTGTCGGGAGTGGTGGCTCATGCCTATAATCTCAGTACTTTGGGAGGCTGAGGCAGGAGGATCACTTGAGCCCAATAGTTTGAGACCAGTCAGGGCAACATAGCAAAACGCTGTCTCTATGAAAACAGAAATTAGCCGGGTGTGGTGGTGTTCATCTGTGGTCATAGCCACTTGGGTAGCTGAGACAGGAGGATTGCTTGAGTCCAGGAGGTCAAGACTTCAGTGAGCTGTGTTTGTGCCACTGCACTGTAGCCTGGGCAACAGAGCAAGACCCCATTTCAAAAATAATAATTAAAAAAAAAAAAGACTGACCCCCTTCCTCTAGAGTGAGCTGCCAGGGTTGCCACCCCTATTCCAAGGCATGGTCCTTCCTCACACCCTGCCTGGGGCTGTGAGGCCACCCCTGTAGCCTCTGTGAGGCTATCTGTACCTCTGGAGCAGTCCTCTGGAAGTGAAGGAGCTAAAAATGAACATCTGTGAAGTGCTAGGCCAGGCCCAGTGCTAAGCACTTTACATGCATTATCTCACCTAATCCTCAGTAACAAACACATGGCAATGTGATCTCCAAGTTAGAGAAAGGGAAACTGAGACAGAAAAATCAAGCGAGCTGGCCAGGGTCTCACAGTTAACCGAGGTTGCTGGGGTTTGAACCAGAGTTCTGGGACACCGAGGCTTTTCACTGTCATGTGCTACTGCCTCATTAGAGCAAGTGATGCTGGGACAGGGACTCAGGCTGCCTTCCAGCCCCCCTCCCTCCTCCTGAGAGTGACAGCAGGGTGGGAAAGCTCCAGGGAACATGCAGAGAACACGTCCCAGAGCTGACAGCCAGAGGACCGCTAAAAATAGTGCTGTCAGGAGCAGTTAAGTTGTGTCTTGCTCCTGAGAGGGAAGAGGGCAGAGCAGGGAGACAGTGTCATGGGAGGGAGAGGCCTCCACTCCTCCACCCGACTCCCCTTTCTTTTCGCCCCATCCAGAAGCGCCTCAGGGCTTCATGGGAGCAGGATCCAGAAGGTGGCATTAAAGGGGCTCCCTGTGAAGGAGGCTGACACTGTGCAGGCAGCAGGCAGGGTGGGGGTGGGAGAACTGGCCTGGAAGTCAGGGGACTGGTCACTCAGCTTTGCAACCTTGGGCAGCCTCCTAACTCGTGTGTGATTCCGTTTTCCCCATCCTTAACCCAAAATAATGAACTTCATTCTCTAACCCCGGATTGGCTTACAAAGAAACCCATTTCCACCTGTGGTGGGAAAGCGGGGAAAGTTCTGAGCTGGGTTCAGGTTTATCAGGACAGCATGAACATGTACATGGGTGAGGGGTACTCTTGCTCCCTCATCTGAAGATAGTCTGTAAGGATCAATGACAAAACACAAATATTTGGTGGTAGGTCTGAAAGAGATTGCTTTCTGAAAGAAAGGTACCTGTGTCAGTACTCTGTGATCAAACATGACTTTGCATCTGTAAATTTGTTGCTCATTTTGTTTTAAGTCTGCTGTACTTGGTCTGTCCTTGCTGCCTCCGAGTTCCCTGGCAGCACTAGGGTGAGAACAAAGGGCACAGCCCGTGGGGTTGGACCACTGGGGTTCACAGGGACCGTGCCACTTACTGAGCACATAGCCTCAGGAAAGTCCATTTACCTCCCTGACACTTGGCTTTCCTACCTGCAAAATGGCCATGGTGGGCGAGGGCATGGCTACGTTTGGAGATCTCAAAGGTCAGGAGGCCGCTAAAGTTCTGAGATTGATGGTCAAGTGGGCTGAGTCTGAGCCAGCTCCAACCCACGCTGCACAGCACAGGCCTGGATGTCCCTAGAGCACTTTCTTCTGGGAAGACCTGCTCCTCCTGCTGGCTCAGCCACCCAGCTGGAGCTTGTAGCTGTGGTCTCCACTCCTTCCTCCTTCCCCATTGAGTATGCTGGAGTAAGGCCTGCCTTGGAGGGCTTCAGAAGCGAGATCTGCCCTCACACCTGCTTTCTGCAGGACCTCTGACCAGCTGGGACTCCTGGCCACTCTGCTTAGAGAGGAGCACTCAGACTTGTTGCAGGGCAAATTGGGGGGAAAAATTGAGATGAATTGAGAAACTAGGCAAAGCAGCATCTGCATTTGTGGCTTGAGGGTCTAAACTATATCCCATCTTCCCAGACACCCCTCAAACATGCCTCTTCTTTTTTCCTTAAAGACAAACAGGGCCAAGTCTAGGCACAGCTGTGATAGCCACGGAGTTGGTAGTGGGCCTCCTCTTTCAGAACCCTTTGATTCTCTCCAAGGGGATCCTCCTGCCTACTGCTTTGGCCACCAACATCCTCTCACCTGTCAATCAGATCCGGGAGGGCTGAACCGCCAAGCGCAACCTTCCCTGCTGGACCACGAGTTCTGAAGGTAGGGCCAGCATCCTGTTCATCCCTATGCTTCCCAGGGAACCTAACAATTCATAGGCCCCTCCTTTCAATTCACTGGCTGAACTGACAGGGCACTAGCTGCCTCACTTGTTCGTTACTCTCCGGGAGCATCAGCTCAGCGGAGCGCTTGCATTGTAATCTATGTCTTCTCGCTCTAATATGGACGGCAAAGTAGTTCCCCTTATTCTTGATTTATGAGCACCAAGCATAGGAGACTAACATCCCACTAGCTGCCACTAAAGGACTGAACTTCAGGATGACTTAATAGAATCATAAGGAATCTCTGATATTACATTTTTTAAAAACTAAATTATGATAGTATATTCACAAGCACATATGTCAATCAAAAGGCCAAAATGCTAAGGATAATTATCTCTAGATAGGGGATTCTAGTTGACTTTTATTTTTTCATTTCGCTTGCCTGAACCCAACTGAAGTCTTGTATTTTACAAGCAAGGGAAATATTACAGGATAAAATAGACTGAAAATTCGGCTGGGTCCTCTCCTTGGGTGGGAGGAATGAACCACGGGCATTTTCCCTGGATGAAGTCTAGCCCTGGGTCTGGGTGGGCAGGAACCTCAGGATTCTGGCCCACATACCCATTCCAGCTGGCCCCTAATCCCTCTCCTAGGTTCCCCAATCTTAACCCAATACCCACTGGCTTCTGTTTGCCCAGAGACCCTGGATACATTTCTCACAGCCCCCCATTCAGGGTATGTGACTTTTCATATCCTGGCTTCCTTATCTGTCCTCTCAGAACACCCTCTCCTTTCTCCTGGGCTCCAGTGATAAAGTGGCTGGTGGAGTCCATTCTCTTTATTAGAGAGGATGCTGCTTGTTGGGAGGGAGAGAGGCACTCTGAAATCTGGCCATGAAAACCACAACTCACCTGTCATCACTTCCATGCACACCTGCTGTGGCCTTTCTTCAGTCCTGCAGGTCGAAGCAGACATGTGAGTGTCAGGCTGTGTTTGTCACCTGCCAACAGCCCTTCCCCTTGGTTGTGGTCTATTTCATAGCAGTCTTCGGCCTAGTCTTGCTCTGGTTTTGGGATTATCCTCCCGGGGGTTAAAGGCACACCTCAAGTGGCCACAGAGTAGCCAAAATGGGGAAAACAGCTCTCTGGACCCTCTCCGCTCCTCCAACCTGCTCTCATCTGGCCTGAAGCTGGAAGGGGAAGTAGGCCCCCCAGGGTAGAATGAGACTGAGCCTGGCCCCAATCCTGCATGGTTCCCCAAGCACAGAGCAGAGAGCGCTTGTGGGGAGAAACAAGAACTCCCTCTATTAGCCTTTCCCACTTCTCCTCATTCACCCCAAGGACCCACTGGGGTTCTCAGGCAGAGGAAGGGTTGGACCAGGAGGCAGGATGCTGGCTTCTGGGAGCTTCTCTGCCACCTTCTCAGAGGGCAGCCTTGAGCAAGGCACTGAGCCTCCCTGGCCCTCAATCTTTCCCATCAATAAGGCAAGATTAGATGGGAGCATCTCCCTTTCTGGGGCTCCTTTCTGTTCTGTGTTTTCAGGATAGTTACCATTCTTGCTTCTCCAGATCACCCGTCCCTGGGTCTGGAGGCTGGAAAAGATACCCAGTGTTAACACCCAGCCAAGGGAGGTGGCAGAGCCTCTTCTAGTTAGACCCCAAGCTGCCGGTCAGAACTCCCCCTCCTACCAATAAGGGGGAACCTACAAGCCCAGGCTCCATGGCTGACGCCTGTAATCCCAACACTTTGGGCAGGAGGATCACTTGAGGTCAGGAGTTCAAGACCAGCCTGGCCAATATGACAAAACCCCATCTCTACTAAAAAATATAAAAATTAGCCAGGTGTGGTGGCATGCGCCTGTAACCCCAGCTACTCGGGAGGCTGAATCGCTTGAACTCGGGAGGCAGAGTTTGCAGTGAACCAAGATGGCGCCATTGCACTCCAGCCTGGGCCATAGAATGAGACCCTGTCTCAAAAAGAAAAAAAAAAAGAGAGAGAGAGAGAGAACCTACAGAGAAAGATGAAGCTCCTTCTGTAGGGAGGAAAAATGCTTGGCTCCCTCTGCAGCATGTTTGCCAGACCTTGGAGCGGTAGAAGGTGTGAAAGGTTTTCCTCCGCTTAGATTTCAATGCCCCCTAAAGTCATTAACTGTCTCCATAGAAACAAAGGATTGTTTTATTATGATCCTCCAAAATCTAGAGTTTATTTAACTCTCCCCCTACTGGACATAAAAGCCGTGAAGGCAGGAATGTGTCCATTTTGTACTTGACTATGATGCTTGGACGTACAATAGTGCCTGGGCATGTTGTAAGTATTCAACAAATATATGTTGAATCCATATGTTTGGAATGAACAAGATAAGTTTCCGATTTCCCCCTTGGTAAAATGCTGGGCAACACAGGACTTGAGCCCTCTGCTGAAGTTCCTAAGTCTAGGAGGAGATTTGAGACCGTGGTAACTCGCCTGGGAATCAAGGCCTTTCGCAAGCTCCCAGAAAGCTTGGAATCGTGCCCAGGACACATAAAACACTCACAAATCTTAGCTCTTCTTGGTTGTATTACTTTCAGTTTCTGATGTGAATTTTCTCTCTCAAAATTCCTAGAAGACAGTATCTCTGGGTGTGGTGGTGACAGGCAGACAGCTACACCACATCACCTACTCCAGCCTGCACCACTTCCCTCTAAATGGTCCATCTGTCCTGACCACCCAGCCACACCGAGTACCCGCCTATAGACCTGGGTCAGGTCTCTGCAGCTCTCCAGGCAGGGCAGGCTGACAGGGAAATCTCACCAATTGGAGACAGCGTCCTTTGCTCCTCATTAAGACAGAGAAGCTAAATCTCCCAAGGAGACAAACAAAAATCACACTAAGATGGAAGTCAGGGATTATTTAAAAAGACACCCGACAGGTTAGGTAATGAGGGGAGCAGGCCTCCTGGGGCTATGGCAAACTGGACAGCCTGAGCCCAAGCAAAGGGGGCACCCCCCAACAAGAGTCATTTATCAAGAGGAGCTGGAAATGTGAATATTTATTTGAAGTCTGATTTCAATGTTGGCAGCTGATTCCATTAAAGACAAAGCATCACTTAGGACCATCAATTTGTTTCTGGTAATTAATTGATAGATCACCCCTCCCCGCTAGATGAACTTGATTGGAGGAGAGGGTGGTAAAGAGAGATGTTGGGAGGAAAGAGGAGAGAATAAGAGGAAAGAGGCCAGGAGAGGGGGTTGGGGGAAAGGCTCAGAGGGCAGCCACAGAGAGGTGAGGCTGCGGCTAACCCAGCAAACTCCACGTCCCCATTGTGCCCACTCCCAGCACCTTCCCTTCACACTGTTTGTTTGCTGAATGCCTGCCTTATGGCAGTTACTGTGACCCTCGGGCTGCAAAGCTAAGTAACACACAGGTTCTACCCTCAAGGAATTTGATAGAGTGAATTGTAACCTCCTTGGCAATATAAGATATTGCAGTATGATCCGATTTAGGTTTTATATATACCCTGTTTCCCTACATATTGCTGTACGTTGGAGAATGAATGAGAATGTATATATGTGTGTGCACGAGTGTGTGTTTGAGGTAGAGGAATTAAAGATGTGAACAGGGTCTTCTACTGTGCGTACATCTGTTTTGTTTTTTCTTATATTGAACATGTGTCACAAGTGTTATTGCAGAACTTCTACAAACATTTACGTAACTGATTTTTGAAGTTCTACAAGGAAAAGGGGGTCTATAGCAATTAAGCAAGTGCTAGTCATAGTCCCAAAGAAGGGCTTATACCTTGGTTACAGAACGCTCCAGGCACTCAAAGCAGAGATGTCAGCACTATGGATTTTTTTCTTTTTAAATTCACTGTCTTCCATTATTTTGCCCTGGTTTAGCTTTTAAAATACACATCCCAGGTAAGTTCGCGATGGCCATCGCTCCCTCAGGACAGACAAAGGAAAAAGGCTTGCAAGGAATTGTGCTTTCAGGTTTTATCCTGAAGGTGGAGGCACCCGTCAGTGCACAGACAATGATCCTGGGGCTGGGAGATCATCCTGATGGAGCCGTGCTCCCGAGAAGCGGGAGCAGAGTGACAGCAGGAACTGCCAGCCCTGAATAATTCATGGACAAAGAGCTCTTTCCGAGATGAGACCAAGGGGTGCACGGGCTGATGGGCTTAAAGTTAGAGACCGGGGCTGGGTGGAGATTTCCCTGCGCCGGGCAGAAGGACCCGAGAGTCCTGTGGCAAGTGTGTTCCATATCCGGGGCTCTGGCATGTAAATATCAGTGTGTGCAGACACACAGGTGTAGCAGTCAGCCTGCTATCTAGTACACGGAACCTCTTTTCTCACTTATTTCCATGTCTGATTTCACCTCTCTTATCAAGGGTAACCCTCCACCCTCACCCTGACCAACACCACAGTCACAAGTGCAATTTAAAAACCACCAGCATCGATAAAAAAGAATGCGCGTGGGGAGCTCTGCCTGCTTCCAGTGGGCCCATGGTTGGTTTCCTAAGGTTCAGTCTATACCTCTACACACCACCATCTCCTCACCCTTCTTCCTGCTATGCCCATTCCCCCCCATTTACAACTGTGATCAGGGAAAGGTTCTGGGTCTGGCCAGCTTTATCCAGTGCTCAAGCAGAGGTGGCATCGATGAATGTGGTGAGGCCAGCACTGTCTAGGCAGGGAGTCCAAGGCAAGTTCCAGAGAGATAGCAACTGGTTATTTGAGAAGAAGGGAAGGTGGAAGACAGGTCCAGGGTCTCTGGGAACATTGAGTGGATGGGCATTGTGCATGGAGTGGTGGGCTGGGGTTTGCAGCTACAAGGGGAAGGGCCGGAGGTTGCAGGGAGTGCAGGCTGCTGCAGGGATAGTGGAGTATGCTGGGAAGGAATCATGGGAGGGGGAGTGAGGAAGGGGACTCTGGGGGAGCAAGGAGAGTTCAGGCGTGGGAGGCGCAGTAGGGCTCTGGGCAGGGTGGAGACTGATAAGGAAGTGCTCTGTCCAGCTGGGGCTGCCAAGATTGAGGGCAGTAAGGCTGTGGAGCTTTGCTAAGACCAGGAGAGGGGCTGTGGGGCAATGTTGACATTCTCCTCTGCTCTCCAACCTTCTTCTCTCCAGATCCCTCTTTCTCTGTTCATCCCTTTCTCTTTTTGTCTATTTCTTTTTCTTTCTTTCTCCCTTATTTGACCATATAAAATATACCACTTAGAATTTATTAACAACAAACATATGAAAAGATGCTCAACATACTAATCATCAGGGAAATGCAAATCCAAACCACCATGAGACATCACCTCATACCCATTAGGATGCCTACTATTAAAAACCAACCAACCACAACCAACTAACCCCAGAAAACAGGCATTGGTGAGGATGTGGAGAAATAAGAACCCTTGTGCACAGTTGCTGGGAATGCAAAATAGTGCAGTCACTATGGAAAATAGTGTGGTGATTTCTCAAAAAGTTTAAAAAATAGAATTACTGTATGGTCCAGCAATCCCACGTCTGGATGTATATATCCAAAAGAAGTGAAAGCAGGGACTCGCACAGATATTTGTACACACAAGTTCACAGCAGCATTGTTTGCAATAGCCAAGAGGTGAAAGCAACCCAAGGGTCCACTGACAGATGAACGAATAAACGAAATCCGATACAGATGTACACGGAAACATCATTCATCCTTAAGAAAGGAAGGGAAATCTGGCATAGAACCCCCGGGGTTTTCATTTTGGAAAGAGTACATGTGAACTGGATAAAATCCAGGAGTTGAATCTTTATTTTTTACTTTATTTTTTTCTATTTTATTTTTTATTTTTTTTGAGACAGGGTCTCACTCTGTCGCCCAGGCTGAGTGTTGGCGCAACCTTAGGCTGACCACACTCTCTGTCCTACCGGGTTCAAGTGATTTCCCTGCTCGAGCCTCCCGAGTAGCTGGATTATAGGCATGCGCCACCGCCCAGCTAATTTGTTTTTTTAGTAGAGATGGGCATTTCTCATATTGGTCAGGCTGGTCTTGACTCCCAACCTCAGGTAATCTGCCCACCTTCGCCTCCCAAAGTGCTGGAGTATAGGCGTGAGCCACGCACCCAGCGAATCTTTTTATTTTTTTACAATCAAAGGAATGCCTCTCTTTACATCAAGGTGAGAAACTTTGGAGTTTCCCATTAATAATTAAAATCCATTAATACATTAAATCAAGATCACAAATTTTAAAAGTAATCTTTAAATTTTAAAAAAATTTCTTACCTGCTTTGTAAATTTTTAAAATACACTGACTTTGTAATAACTTTTTAATTTGTTTGCAATTGTGGTAAATAACATAGACAAAATTTACTATCTGTAAGGTTAGTTCCTAGTGTTAAATATATTCACGTTAGTTACAACTGACTCCCCAAGACTTTTTCATTTTGTGAAAGTGAACATTCTACCATGGAATAACATCTCATTCTCCTCTTCTCAGAGCCCCTGGCAACTACTATTCTACTTTCCTTCTCTGTTTTGGCAGCTCTAGGTACCTCATATAAGATGAAATTGGCCAGGTGTGGTGGGCTCATACGTGTAATCCCAGAACTTTGGGAGGCTGAAGTGGGCAAATCAACTTGAGGTCAGGAGTTTGGACCAGCCTGGTCAACATGGTGAAACCCCATCTTTACTAAAAATACAAAAAAAATAGCCGGCATGGTGTGGGCACCTGTAATCCCAGCTACTTGGGAGGCTGAGCCAGGATAATTACTTAAATCCAGGAGGCAGAGGTTGCAGTGAGCTGAGATCACACCATTGCACTCCAGCCTGGGCCAACAGAGCAAAACTCCATCTAAAAAAAAAAAC